AGTGGTAAAATATTGAAACATGAAGGACCAAATATATTTTTTGTGGACCAAATATTAAATCAGTGCAAACTTGATGGATGAAAACTTTAATTTTTCCAGTAATCTCTCATTTCACGCCAAAATCCCCCTAATTCCAAAACCCTAAAGCTTCCATGTTTAATTTATTTATTTATTTTATTCATTTTTATTATCCTTTTAATGAGGAAGATGAATTTGGGATAGACAAAACGTTACTCAAATCATTGGATTGACATATAATATTGGTGGTTGAATTGTTCTATATTTTATGTCATGACTAGGTCATGGGATTATCAGATTATGTCACTTTTCACAATACATTAATTATACTTTAATTGCTAATCAGGATTATGGGAATGGGTCCATGGTCGGCTAATCAAATGATTATCAAAAAAATTATATTAAAATATTCTTTTTGGTACCATAATTCTTTTTTGTGAACCCCACACCATGGATTGCTTAAGCTAGTTAGCCATGCATGCTTAGCTAAGTGGTTTTTGAAAATTGTTCTATCTTAATTATATACTGCATCCGTTTCATATTAACCGTATTATACACTAATTAAGAAAGTTATTAAATATTCTTGATATTGGAGGAAATAATTCTTATTTGACAAAATATTAGCCCTTTTTGGCCTTTTATTTTCTCTTTATCACTTCATTAATCTAAGGGTAAAGTTGGAAAAAAAATTTAAAATTGTCTCATCTTGAAATTCCGAAGTGACCATCTAGCAATGGTTGCAATTGGATAATAGATTATCATGTAATTGTTCATAATATGTTTTTTTCAAACAATAATTATTTACATACTCCCTCCGTTCCTAAATAGGTGTCGTTTTTCATCTTGGCACAAATCTTAAGAATCTCAATAAATGTGTCTTGATTTTAGGAAAGTATATAATGATGGACCAAAATACCCTTGTTTATTAATTAATGCAGGAAGAGTGCTATAGAGTTAATAAGGGTAAAATTGAAAAATAAGCAATTAATGCAACATTGGAATTGTAAAGTGACAGATAATATGGAACAAAAAAAATTCTCAAAAGAGACAGATATTATGGAACAGAGGGAGTATTAAATTTTGATACTTTGTATATTTTTGTTCCTTCATCTTCTTTAGTTCAAGTTCTAATTTCATATTCTGGTTATTAAGAATCATTATTCATCATAAATATGAATTACATAGGTAAAAGACATGACTTTGTTTTTTTGGGTGATTCACAATAAGTTATTGGTGAAATTCATGATCTTGATGATATGATAAAAGTCACTGTTATTATTTGGGAAAAATACAAATTTCATGTCTCAAGTTTGGACTGGTTTAACATTTGATCTTCCACATGTTCACAAAAAAAATATTTGGTCCCTTATGTTTTAAAAATTCAACACTTTTAGTCATTTCCATCAGTTTTTCGTTACTAATAACAGAATCAAGCATGTGTGAACACTGGCTAACTGACGGACTAATGGTAAATTGACGGAAATGACCAAAAGTGTTAAATTATTGAAACATGAGCGACCTAATCTGTTTTCGTGAACATGGCGCACCAAAAGTGAAATTGTTGTAAACTTGAGGGATGTAAACTGTAAATTTAAAATTTACAAAAAATTACAAAAAAGAAAAAAAAAATCAAAATTTTCAAAAGTTGTGTGATTTTGGAAAATTCTTAAACTTTCCGAAACTTTTGGAATTGGAACGGAATTCTAGATCCTAAAAATTTTGGAACTCGTATTTGAATTGAAATAGTTATTTTTTTGTATTTTTGAAAGAAATTCGAAATTTTACGACGAGGTCAATTACGATATATCCATTCCATCCAATTTAATTTTATTTTTTTGGTTACCCATATGTCCGAGCGTTGCCCGACTAATTGTGGAAGTAGATAGGTCTTCCCTTCCCCTTTCATCGATTTTCGGTTCGTTCGTTTTACCCAATACCCCCCACTACACCCCCAATCAATGCAATAACGTTCAAAAGTGCAAACCATTGCTATGATTATTGATTACCATCAAGCATTTGGTTGGGTCTCAAATTTAATTTCCCCTTCTTTTGGGTACTATGTTTGGTAAATAGTAAATACGGAGTTCATTATACTTACGGGTTAAATACAAAAAACTCCTGTACTATGGTTTTTGTATCATATACTCCCATGTACTACACATAAATACAAAAACCCCCCTCACATTACACTTTTTGCCAAAATATGACAAAAATACGCCTACTCAAGCATATATACATATATATATATATATATATATATATCCATTTTCCACCATATATTTTTTTCAGTCAATTTTACGTGAAAAATTTTGATATCTATATTTTTTTTCTCCAAAACATCTAATTGCTTGGATTTTTTTAATTTTCTAAATAAAACTTTTTATATTTGTCATTTTGAGTTTCTTCATTTTTTTTTCTGTAATGTTTTCTGGTAGTTTATCCTAAGATTATTATTGTTGAGAATTTGAAATACCGGAGGACATTTAAGAAAAAAAAAAGAAGAAATTCAAAAAGACAAAAATAGAAGGTTTTACTCATGAAAAAAAATCTAAGTAATTAAATGTTTTGAAGAAAAATATAAAAAAAATCCAAGTAAAATTAACCGAAAATGTTAAAAAAATAGTGGAAAATGGCTCAAACAAACCATTATATTTATAGGCTTAGAAGGAGTATTTTCGTCAGATTTTGGAAAAAATATAACAGCAGGGGGATTTTTATATTTATGTGTAGTACATGGGGGTATATGATACAAAGACCATAGTACAAGGGTGTTTTTGTATTTAACCCTATAATTAATTAGAGGCACCCAACTACTAATCACACAACATAAGACAGTATTTGAGTACTCATCATCTCTACACAGTGTAACTGACTCACTCTACACTCAGAAAAGAGAGAAGATTTGGGTATAGTGAAATTGAAATAATAAATACATGACTAGTGTAACAACTTACAATAGCAAGCCAATTTTTTTCTTCCAATTTTAACTTGTTAAATCAATTTTCACCAATTAATTTTAGGGAGGTAGATGCAAATTTACATCAAATTGATATGATAACGAGTTGCTAGTTTTTCATTTACAGTAGTTACTCGATAAATTAATAACCTCGATTAAATAATAGTTTTTTCTGGTCCCGACTCGGTGAAAATATTTAAAATTATTAACTCGGTAATTTAATAATTCGCTAAATCAATAGAATTTTCCTAATTCCGACTGTATGTATTTATAGAGGCTTAACTGTAATTTGATCACTTCTTGTAACACAAAATAGGACGCGTTTTACATGTAGAATCTAAATTACAATCAAATGTCCCGTAAGTGATGACCTAGCAATTGGAGCAAATGAGTATGTATCAATTAATCCAAATTCAAATCTCCTTGCCAACGGTTGCTATTTGAAGTACTTTGCTACACATGGTTAGCCTAGAGCGGTTTTGCGTCTCTCGTATAGTTTGCAAGCTATTATACGAAAGTGTAGATTTACCCACTTCACCTATATGGTTGAGTGCGAGTTACTTCATTACAAGTATCTTATATATAAAACGAAGATATTTTGACCTATAACCCTAACCCTAAACTTAGGGGTATTTTTGACAATTTTTGTTCTTGCAGTTTCTTTTTCTTTTTCAATAAAACCGGTTTTATTGAGTTTATTTTTCCTCCACAACGATTAAAATGAAAAATAAAAGAAAAGTAAAAAACAACACGCATAAAACACAGAAGACACGATCAGTAACTGCTCTCCATTCATATATCACGTATTCCGCTTCTCCCGAAAATCCCTTTGAGCACCAATAACTGCAACAAAAAGTAATTTTATTTGGCACTGCTCAACATTCTTCATCTCCTGAAGCCAAGAATTATAGAGTTCCGTGAAGATTGAAGAAACTCCCTTTTCATCCCTCCCGTAGAAAACCTCAACGGGATTTTCCAAGCTTCCATATTTCGGGTATGAATTGAAGAAAACATCAAATTTTTCAGTTTTGTTAAGTCCTTTTGTATTCGGTGAATTTTTTTTCCCTTCAGAAATTAGGGGTCATGTGATTTGCGCATAGAGTAAAATCGGTGAAATTGAACTAACATACAAGATCAATGACAGTGCACAGTTGCCCATAGGCTTTCATCACTGGAATCTGATTCGTCAAAGGCCAAGCAAAAGTGGGGTGATTCGACTTTGTTGGTGATTTCAACCTCATTATTGGTGATTTCTTTTTGGTTTTTTTTTTTTTTTTAAACTCTGTAGACAGGGTTAGGATTTGAGTTGCTTTAACTGTTTTTTCATCTTTATACGTCTATCTGACGAGGATATAGCTTATCAATTACCACTAAAAAACTTATAGTAGCCTCCACTGATGCGCAGAATCTTGAACCCCCTCTGAAAGAGCAAACTAACAGCAAATTAGTAAATGTCGAGCCTCACTCTGGGAGAAAAGATGGTGGTAAAAAACTTATAGTGGCTGTGGGATGCATTTTGGAACCGAGTTAAACCATCCGGTAAAATGAGTTTTTATTATTCATACCGCAACGATTAAATTAGAAAATATTCATGTTCATATTTTATTTTCATAAGTGATCTTTAAGCTTTTTTTTCTTGATAGAAGTTGGAACCAGAGTTACAACTAACAAGAGATTTGGAATCACTAAAGGAAGAGAGCCTTCTTAATTATGTATGCAGTCTATGCAGAACTATATTCTGATTCTTGGTATGGCTCTACTATTTGGAATGACATGTTTGCAGCAGCAGCAAATGGTGCGAGAAGTTCTCATCTCCATGCTTCCTCCTGGTGCGCCTCCTCGAGTATTGCCCCCTTTTTGCATTCTTTTTTTCCTGGCTTTTTATGAACCTTGGATTTATTTAGATGGAAACATTATTAATACTAACATATACTGTATGGAATTCGTATCTTATATATAAAAAGAAGATATTTTGACTTATTTTTTTGTTTCCCTTTTTTTTGTTTCCCTTTCGGTTCCTTCTTTTTTCGCGTTTTTTTTTGGTTCGTTTGATGAAAATTTGAAAATAAATAAAACCACCCATGGTATAAGAAACTAAAAACATGACCGCACTAACTCGAAAAAAGAGAAAAAAATCCACACACGTTCACGCATAAATACACGATCGTCTGATAACTTCCCTATGTGAGCCAATCGGTAAAAGAAAAAACCGAAAAATAGCATATTTCTGCCCCTTTTGATTTTATAGAATCGGATATATATATAAAAAAAAAAGAATTTTATAGAATCGGCGGAAGGGGCCGAAACGCAACTCTCAAATCCTCCGTCCGACAATACCTTCTTCTCAAAAGATTATCGTATTTTCAGGTAAATTAGTATCCTCTTAGGTAAATTTGCATTTTGATTGTTTGATCCACGGAAATTGAGTGTGGCTTTTTTCTTTTTTTTGGTTAAAAAAAATTGTTTTTATGTTGTAATTTCTTACCTGTGTCAATTGGTATTGCCTATGTTTTCTATTAGTCACGATAAATTATTGTTAGTTGTGATGATTTGCTATTAAAGGTTTAAACTTTCATGTCTTTGATTTGTTGAAGATTGATAACTCAGAGTTTGCAGTGGTAGTGCTCAAATGAAACTAATGATTTGTTCTGATTCAAATTATTCATTATAGAAATTAGTGTTGTACACTCTACATTCTTACAACCTATTTGTTGTTTAATTTGTTAATGGATTTTAGTTTCTCTGTGGACGACAAAGATTTGGCATCAATCGGCTACATTAAACTTAAGTCTTCACAGAACGTAAAAGAACCTCCAGAATGATGACGATTTGATGATTTATCTGCCATTCTCCTCTTTCTTATGCACGGTACAATTGCAACATCATTTGATGCAATCCCAGTTATTGCGTTTTCTTAATTTCTTTTGCCCAACATAATTCGTATTGAAAAAATAATTGCAATATGCCTATGTTTTGCGTGTTTTTTTCCTTACCTTTTCACTCTACTATTCTGATTTATGTACGATTTACGATTCATTAAATTAATCAATGGTATGTTTATTATTGGTAGGAAATCTATACACAGTGCATTAGGGAACCCCCAAAGTTCCATATTCTTAATTCCTTTACAGCCAAATTTGTGTATGATCAAACAACAGCGATTAAGAACGGCTCCGGAAACAATTTTCTAGACGGTTTAATAAGAGGTTATTGATGACTGTAGAAAATAGCATGCCTTCTTAGCAATTTAACTGAAATTTTTGTTTCGCGCGTTCTAAATATTCAAAAAAATTGCAGCACAAATTTTGTACCAGCAAACATAAGAGGTTAAAGAGAGCTCCTGAAGCAATTTAGTGTGCAGGTAAACAGAGGTTAAGGATGTCTATATATCTCTGTTGCTTTTGGTGAATTTCATATATTGTAGAAAGATTGATGTTTTGGAATTGTGTTTGTTTTCTTACATATATTGTTGAATTGTTTTAGTTCCAGTTATATGATTCCCCAGTGCCTCATATACTACAAACTCTCAGACTGACCAAGAAACTCAATTTTCCGAATTAGGAAAAATATATATTTTTTCCTTCTCTTTATTGTGATAATAAGCTACCTGAGGTTCTATGTTTTTTCATTTCCGTTCTATACTTATTATCGATTGGACAATATTACAAATAATTAAAGTATTTGCACTTATGTTTCCCGAAATTGAAAATTGATACTGATGAATTCTCTTTAAACTACACTTTTGCAGAACTTGGTCATTTTTCGTTATTCTCGGACGAAGATGAATGACAAAGAGAGAAACACGATAAGAAGAACCTTAACTTGCATAATTGATAGGAGGTACTCACTATTTCAATTGAATTTATATTACAACACTTAATGTTTAATGTTATGGAGTTCATTTATTTTATAGGTTTGTGGTTATTTTTCAGACAAAAATTGTGACGAGAAGATGTTTAATCTGTCGATTAATACACAAATTAGCTGATTGAATGAAGAATGGACTAACATCCTCATCCATCAGAAGATTGATAGTTACTCTTCCAATATGCAAGTCTGTATATAATGTGTATAATATTTTTCAAATTTGTATGTAGTACAGTAGCCGTATAATATTTTGCAAGTTTGTATATAATGTGTACCGTGTCTGTATCTGCCTTTTTTTTTCCCTTTTTAAATGTATGTATAACCAGTGTAATGTATCAAAGCAGTTTGTATATAAAATGTTTCATTTTTTCTCCTTGATGATACGACGTCTTATTGTACACACGTTTTTTTATTTGGTGCCTCTACATTAGTTAAATTTAATGTCAGCAAAAGGTTTAACTGAAATTTTGACAGATTTTGGTTCGAATGAGTACACTATTCTCACCATGGTTACATGAACGTACACAAGTTCGTCTTTTATTTTCTTTTGAGCAATAATTTTTTACATCATTTGACACGAAATAATATTATTAAGAAGACGTCTAGAACAATTTGTGTGTAAAATATTTCAATATCACTACAAAATAAAAGAAAATACACTTGAAAATAAGGTGGAAAGTAGAAACATATTTATTTGAAGACAAATATTTGTAAAATCAATAATTTAATATTTTTGCAGAATTCCAAATACGAATTTCTAGATAAATATAGTTCAAGTATTTATTTGTGCGAAAGCGAAAATGCCTATAGATTGAAAGAATGTATATTAAAATAATAATGCAAACATGTAATTTTTTAAACCGAAATTTTGTATTTTCTTTATTTTTGCAGAATTTAAAAAATGCATTTCTATATAAACGACTGAGAGCTTAGACAAATAAATCTGTCGTACATCTAATTATAACATCTATATTTTAGTATAAATTGTATTATGGATGCTTCAATTTGTTCATATATTTTCTAAACAAATAAAATCATCAACGTCATAAATTCATTTTTTTCCATGTTCATAAATGTTGGTTTTTACATGTATTAATTAATTTATGTTTTTCTTAAACAAATTCATGCATTTTTAGAGCAATGCATTTCAATTATAATTTTTTTTTTGTTTTGAAATGCTATCCCGTGCAACGCACGGGAATGGTTACTAGTTTTATTGAAAAAAAAAGAAAATCATAGTTAACTAATGGGAAAATTACAGTTTTCATCCCTCAAGTTTGAACCGATTTCATATTTGGTCCCCTATGTTCACAAAAATACATTTAGTCCCCCATGTTTCAATAATTTAACGTTTTTGGTCATTTTCGTCAATTTACTGTTAGTATGTCAGTTAAGTCATTGACAGGCATATGCTTGATTCCGTTAGTTTTAATGGAAAATTGAGAGAAATAACTAAACATGTTGAATTTTTGACACATGACATAAGGGACAAAATATGTCTTTTTTAAACTTGAGGCACCAAATATGAAATCTGTGCTAATGTGAGGAACTGAAACTATATTTTCCCGTTAACTAATACACCAATCTACATAAGGGTTTGTTTGGACATTTTTTTTTTTTTTTTTTCTTTTTTTTTTTTTTTTTTTTTTGATAATGCAGGAACCCGCAGCCAACCATATAGGTGCACTGGGTAAACCTACACTCTCGTATAATAGCTTGCAAACCATACGAGAGATGTAAACCACACTAGGCTAACCATGTGTGACAAGCTCGACCTAGCGACCGTTGGCAAGGGGATTCGAACTTGGGTCAATTGACCCAAGCTCTCTTGCTCCAACCGCTAGGCCATATTAATTAAAGAAAAGGCGTAATTAATTAGATGAGGGGTCCCCCAAAATCTTGAATGAGGGACATGTCTTGGGCCTTCAAAATAAAAAAAGTAGGGGTTTTATTTAAATTCACGTGTGCTCTTTTGTCAACATGAGTATGTCGGTCAAACCCCTCCATTAATTATGCTAATCATCATCACAACTACATTTCCTAATGCTCCAAAATCAAACACCTTAATATCTGCAAGAAATTTTTTTAAAGAAAATAAAACCTTAAAAAGTTTAGGAGAAAAGAAAATAAAAAGATAATTGCATATCATTAAATATAATATAAAGTGAAGCAAAAAAATGGACTTTAGTACATTTTTGGTCCACTCCTACTACCCCTTGTCCCCTCTCTCTCTCTCTCACTCTCACACACACACACACACACTAAACACCCACAAAACACACACAATAATTTTGATTAAAATTTGTAAACTATATATGTTTAAACAATTTCACACAGATTGGATTGACCACTCTATTTCTCTCTCTACAACTCACTTTCTCTCTCTAAAAATCCTTTCTTTCTTTCTTCTTCTTCCTCATACGGCAAAAGATGGAGTTGGGCTTGAGTTTAGGAGATGTATCAGAACCCTATGGGTTCTTGAAGAAAAATAACCAGCAGCAAAAACCCATTTCAAAGAAGAGCGGTACTCTTGATTTCTGCATGGATTTGGGCCTTAAATCTCCGGCAATTGTCGGAAATCAAGAAACTGAGAAATCCGAAGATGACGGCGATGATGACGGCGGTGATGAAGATGACGGCGGCGACGAGAGCGATGATGACGATGATGTTCGAGGCGGAGGGGAAACTACTCCGTTGAAGCTGAGTCTTGTCCCTTTTGCCCCTCCCCAGATCTCCTCTCATCTACCTTGGTCTTCTGATAATGGTGGGTTCTTGAATCTTTATGTTTGTCTGAAAAAAATCACTGTCTGAATTAATATCTTATTAATTGTTTAAACCCATGAAGAAAGATTCCAACTTTTGTTTTTTAAAGGGAGTTCGGAAAATGGGTCGTCGGGAAATATGGGGATGCGGCCGGGGAGGATTGGGTTTGACGTGAACAGGCCGGCGGCGGCGGCGGAGGAGGTATCGTCGACTAACAGCATGGGTGGTGGTGGTGGTTCTCCGTTCGGCCACCACCTGGGGTTTAACATGTTTAGAAATACCGCCACTGGGAATCATCAGCCGAGAGGTCAGAAGAGAGTCCTTGAATCCTCCGCCGCCGGCAGCGACGGCGCGGAGGCGGAGAGAACATCATCCCCCAGAGCAACCAGCGACGATGACGAAAATGCCCTCAACGCGAGAAAAAAGCTCCGATTGTCCAAAGAACAGTCCGCTTTTCTTGAAGACAGTTTTAAAGAACACAACACACTCAATCCTGTGAGTACAAATTTAACATAATATTTTTAAAATTTAAAGATCAAATTTTTATTCATTTTTTTCAATTTACATTTTTGTTCAAATTTATCATAATTAATATTAAAAAAAATTAAAGATCGAATTTGTATTCATTTTTTTCTAATTATATTTTTGTTCAATTTTATCATAATAATTTAAAAAAAAATCAAAGATCGAATTGTATTCATTTTTTTCTTCTGATTATATATTTGTTTAAATTTATCATAATATTTTAAAAATTAAAAAGATCGAATTTTTATTCTATTTTTTTTCAATAATTAAATTTAATTTGTTCGGACAAGGGCAGAAACAAAAACTTGCGCTAGCTAAACAGCTGAATCTGAGACCTCGTCAAGTTGAAGTCTGGTTTCAGAACAGAAGAGCAAGGTATGTGTGTGTGTGTGCGTATATATATATTTGTGTGTGTGTACTCATAAATTTAAGGTGGGTGTGTGTATGACACGCGCGCAGGACGAAGTTGAAGCAGACGGAGGTGGACTGCGAGTACTTAAAGCGGTGCTGCGAAACGCTGACGGAGGAAAACAGACGGCTGCAGAAGGAGCTTCAGGAATTGAGATCCCTCAAGACTTCTTCCAACAACCCTTTCTACATGCAGCTTCCCGCCACCACTCTCACCATGTGCCCTTCTTGCGAGCGCGTCGCCTCCACGCCCACCCCCGCCGCCGCGGTGGATTCCACGGCGGCGCAAAAGGCCGTCCCGTTTCCGGTAACCAGACCAAGATTCTACCCGTTCTCGCAGAGCCCGACCCGTCACAATCATCAGCCTGCGGCCTCATAAATTGATATCATATTTATGGCCCGAAATCAGAACTTTCAGTATGCATGAATTGCTGGTGGTCCTGCTGATTAATTATTTGTAAATATAGATTTTTTTTTTCTTTTTTTATATATATAATTATTTTTAGTGTTTTTTTTTTTAATTTATTTATTGGGTTTTTTTGTGTGGCTTGTGTTTGTAGTAGTGTTGGGATATGACATATGAGGCCTTGTTCATGTGTTTGAGCAAATTTTTGTTTGGCTGATCTTTGTGTTGATTTTGTGGGAGAATAGAATTAACTAATATATAGTAATAGTTTGTAAGAAAAAAATGAAAAAAAATAGAAGCATTCCTTTAATTTGTTTTTCTCCATCGATTTGGAATTAAATAGCTTGCAAATCATTTGCAAATGGTCTTTTATGTTGTCCAACTTTCATATAAATTACAGGCACCATCTAAGTCGGTCACTTAGGTTTGCTCAAATTACGAATTTATTTTTCTTGTTTAGATAATTATAACTATAATTTCAACTACGCATTGCCGTACACGTTCATTTTTATAGTGTCCAATTTTATCTGTTGAATAAGAAGTTTTTTCCTAAGACAATATACAGTTGAGGAGGTTGTGATTGACTGGTTGTAATTATGAGGTTTTTTAGTTCAGAACAGGGCAAATGTAAATCAATGATTATCCGATCAGGAGGAGTATTTCTTTAAATTTTCAATGCTGCTTTAAACTTCACCATAATATTATCCCCTGTACTCTTTTAGTTCATTTTTGTCAAATGTAAGTTATATTTTTAGTATATTCGACACTAGATCGGAGGATCCCGTTTTGAGTTGTTCTACTAAACTCACCTACATCCCTCGAATTCGGATGAACGTGAACGCACACATATATGAATGTGTGCTTAGCAGGTAGTTCTTTGTATAAATCTATAGCAGAAAACCATTCTTTATTTATCATTAGGCGTAGCATCTCATAGACCTTGTAATCACACGAGTTCGATCTAACACTTATAAGTCGAGCCCGTCGTATGAAGCTTAACCAACATAGTTAGCATATCTCATGTAATTTGCAAACTATTGCACGAAAACACGAATTATTCATATGTATATATGCATATATGAATTTCTTTTCTTTGGGGACAAACAAATAGTACTAGTAATTAATAATGAAATGATGGTGAATAGGCATAATAGGTGGAAGTATGTTGGGGTGTCCCGGTGTTCGAGGCTTGCTTTAGGCAAAAGTGTGTCATCACTCATTAATTGTCTAATTGTTTTCAAATGATTTTTATTACTACTTAGTAATTTATTTACTAAATTGATTTATATATACGAGAGAAAGTATTTATTGTTTGACTAGAGAAAGGCGTGGGGAGAAGGGTAGTAGTAGTATCAATTTAAGTAAAATTGGGGACAAAGGTGGCATATTTATGAATGTGTCTGCTAAAGTGTGGTACCCTTTTACCACCGCCAATTATTACTACACACGCCCCAAGTACATTCCCCCATTATTGGTCTTCATTGCTCGCCACGTGACTCCCTCACGTGATATCATTCATTTCTTTTACTCAAATTTCTACCACTTTTGTAATTTGAAATTAATACTATATTTAATGTGTCAAGAGTAATTTTTATTATACTCAACCGTTTATATAACAACTTTTTAAATACTTTAAGATCTAGTATTATCTTATTTCATAAAAATCATTAAATAATTATTTATTTAAGGATTATGGCCCATCCGACAATTTCAAAAATCCAAATTGACGAATTCGAGCTCAAGTCATTTCAAAATAAATTATATTAATATTTTTATTATTAAGAAAATATTTAGTATAATTAAACAAATATAAAATAAAAAAAAAATATCTTTTTAGTTATATTATATAAATGTACGATAAAAAAATCCCTAGCCGATAATAGCTCATGAAAAGGAGCTCGAGTTTTTGTCGGACTGACTCATCGAGTTGGCTCGGTCATTTAACTCCGAATATTCAAAACCCTTTTGGGCTGAAGGCGGGCTGGGCCGAAATATTACTCGCATGCATGGGCCGCACCATCCTATATAAAGGGTTGACTAAGTAGTGTCGATTATGAGATGAAGCCCATAAATTAAACATATTCTACACTATTTGCAGTTTTGCTTATCAAAGGGGAGGATAAAAGAAAAGAAAAAACCCTAAAATAGGAAAATAAATAAACAAAATCTCAACTCAAAATAGTGGCAGTATAGATGGAAATCGGACAGATCGGAACTAATACTTGAAAAAAAATATTAGTATTTTTTGAAAGTATTTAATAAACCAATTCCGGTTCCGTTCCATTTTTTTTTTTTGGGAAATCGGAATTTCAAAATTTGAAATGCAAAACTACTGTTCCAAAATTCAACTTTTTTGTTGGAAAATTGGTATTCGAATTCTTTTTTACTGACCATTTGTCATATAAAATACATAATAATACTAATATTTAAAGTGTATATTTCGTGGAAAAAAAATTTAATTTCAAAAATATTTTCAGAAATTTAAATCAGAATCTAATATGTATTACAAATCCGTTTGGAAACAAGTTCCGTAAAATCGGAAATCAAAACTTTGAGAATCTAAAAAAATGTTAATAGTATTCTAAATTATAAATCTTCAAGGGTAAATTCCATTTTACCCCCTTGTACTTTGCCTGGATATCATTTTAGCCCTTGTACTCTTAATTGCATTGATTTGCCCCCTTATACTTTGGTTCGATATCACTTTACCTCCTCCTACTCTCAATTCATCGATTTGCCCCCTTGTACTTTGGCTCGATATCACTTTACCCCTTTCTACTCCTAATTGCATCGATTTGCCCCTCTCACTTGAAAAATTGTCTCAATGTGACCCTCGCCATTAGTTTTCAGACATTTGACCTTAACACCGTTTGATTTAAGTATGAAAATTACTAAAATGTCACCCCTCCAGTTTAAATAGTTATTAAAAAAAAATATTAAAAAAAAACAAAAAAATAAATAATAACAAATTCAAGATAGCGAGAAAACATAGTCCACGACGCCAGCCACAATTTTTTTTTATTAATAATCATTTTAATTGGGAGGGGTGGTTTTTTTGTAATTTTCAAACTTAGATCAAACGGTGTGAATGTCAAATGTCTGAAAACTAACGGCGAGGGCCACATTGAGATAATTTTTCAAGTACAGGGCGGCAAATCGATGCAATTGAGAGTAGAAGGGGGTAAAGTGATATCGAGACAAAGTACAAGGGCACAAATCGATGAATTGAGAGCAGAAGGGGGTAAAGTGATATCGAACCAAAGTAAAAGGGGGAAAATCGATGCAATTGAGAGTACAGGGGGGTAAAATGATATCCAGCCAAAGTACAAAGGGGTAAAGTGGAATTTACCCAATCTTCAAATATAAATTGGCCGAATTAAAAAAATTATAACGGGTCAGCGGATCCAGCCATTCGGGTTTAAAAGATACGGGTCGGGTCACAACTTTCTCCCAGCCCTTAAACCTTCTAAACCCCGCCCCGCTAAATCTCTCTCTCTCTCTCTCTCTCTTTCTCTACTCTCTCTCATCTTCCCTTCTTCTCTCTCTCTTTCTACCCTCTGCTTCACAGCCATGGCGGCGAAGAACGGCGAAAAGCTTTCTCTCGTCCCTAACAAACAGAAACAACAGAAGAAGAAGAGAGAGAAAGCGAAAGACAACGGCGATTACTTGAAGAATCTAGGGCAGCAGCTGCTAACTTCTAGAGCTCACATCAACAACCTCCCAATTCTTCTGACCTACATCACCCCCAATTCTCCGCCGCAGCACGCCCTAGAATCTCTTCTCTCTCTACAATCCTTCTTCACTCCCCTCCTCCCCCAGCTCTCTTCCTCCTCCGCAAATTCCGCCAATCAGGAACCCGACCCGGAGATTGTTTACCTCACGTGGCTCCGCTCCAAATTCGATGACTTTGTACGCTGCCTCGTTGATATTCTCGTTTCCCCCCAATCCGAGGATGCTCTGCGGGTACAATTTTCCCCCCTCTTTTGTTGTGTATAATTAATTTTTTATTTTTTACTTTAAAAAAAAAATGTAATTGTACACAGGAAATTTTGTTGGACGCTGTAATGGAGTTCGTTAAAGTGGGCAACGCCGGAAAGTTCCATTCCGCAATCTATCACAAGCTTCTCCGCGCTATCGTAAGTTTGAAACAATTTTCCTTTGGTTGTAAATTGGAATTTCTTTTTGGTTCCTCATGGATTTTAAAATGTGATTTGTAGATTCACTCTGAATTGGGCGCTGAGGACATTGTGTTGGTTTTGCTTGCGTCGAAGTATTTCACTTACATTGATGTTTGGTATGTTCTATTCTCAAGAAATTTCACACTATCTATTTAGTGTTACCGTTTGTCTTGATTTTCTTGTTGATGTGTAGCGTATTTCTTGAAATCGTTGCCCTTCTCCAAATCCTAATTTTTTCGGGTTCAATTGCCATTGTATTGTACAGTTACTTTACTTACATTAGCTTGGAAAAGCTGGTCCGGACTTTGGAAGCGAAAGGTATATCCTCTTTCCCCTTTATGCTGGTTCTAAAAATATAGTGTCAGTAGTTCTGTACCATTTCATTCCTCAAAGTGCTCGTCTTATTTCTCGATTGAATTTTGGCCCCCGCAGAAGATGGAAATGCAAGTCTAGATGCGGAGAAGAAAATCCAGTCGAAAACAAGGTCAGCATATATTCTCACATAGAAGTAGGCACCCTTAGATTGAAATGAAATTGGTGAAATTACACTTTCATCCTCTTAGTTTGGACAACTGACTAAAGAGCTTGAATGACCATTAGTCAGTCCTCCAAGCATTATTGGCTTAGAGGACGGAATTAGTGTGAACATTTCGTAATGTAATAAGTTTTGGTTTTTGTTTGCACTTGATTGACTTCTACCTCCGTTTCCCTTAAAAAAAAAACCAAAACTTAAGAGGAGGGGGCGCTGATGATTCTTCTCTGTCTGTACATGTAGCATGGAGCTTTCCATTCACAAGATGAAATTTTTACTATCTCGTATCCCACAATTGGAAGCGTTGGAGGAAAACCTACAGATGTGGAATGGTTTGGGTAATATTTCTGGATTCCACGTTGCTTATATTTCCTTGTCATAGATGTTATATGATTGTAATCTTCGTGTGGCTCTTTCACTTCTTTCGTTAGAATTAATGTCTTCTTTTTGTTTACTCTAACTTGTAACTACACAAGTCAAATTTGATGTACGCAAAAAGGAGTCACTGAGTTAGAACATGACATTTCTTCTAATATGGTTATAAGAATTCATTGTCAATGCAATATACCAATAGAACATCTCATGTGATTAGAGAGATTGTGGTAATTCGTTTTTTCGACTGGATTCGTGGATACTGGTATTTAGCCCAATTTTTGTTTTCATTTGGAAATGGTGGTGTTCCCCGCATATTCATATTTCCGTTTCCTCTTCTGCGTACATATAGGCCTTTTCGCTGAGAAAGACAATAAGCAGGAAACTATTGCCGTAAAAGATAAAAACACAAAGAAGAGTCAAAAGTCCGGTGACAAGGCAAGTTCCGTAGAGAAATATGTATTGCAGATATTTGACTTCAGTTTCCTTACAATAATCACTACATTCGGTATTTAACAGGTTTTATCATCTCGAAGTATTGCTAAGAAAATGAAATTGAAGTTAACTAAAGCATGGCTATCGTTCCTCAGATTGCCCCTTCCTCTTTCTGTATACAAGGAGGTAAAACTAAACTGTTCTTCATTTCGCATATACACACCCCTGCTTATTACAATCTTTTTCTAATGTCTTTTTATTGATTTTTCAGGTTCTTGTTGCACTTCATCAGTCTGTTATACCTTATATCTCTAATCCAATTATGTTATGGTATATACTGGATTTTGTATATTCCCTTTTCATTTTTAAGAGATTATTTACTTTTTCATGCTTAAATACTATATTTTACTCGTTTCTCAACTCTATTTATGCAGTGATTTCTTAACTCAGTCATATGACATTGGTGGTGTTGTCAGCGTTATGGCTCTTAGCAGTCTGTACGTTCTCATGACAGAACATGGTCTTGAATACCCTAACTTCTATGATAAACTTTATGCTCTACTAGAGCCGGCTATATTTATAGCAAAACACCGAGCAAAATTTTTTCAGGTAAGAGAAATTTTTCATTCAAATTATATGCATTTGTGCAATCTTAGACGGTAAACTTTCTCATTGTTGAATATAAAATCAAAACCACGTCATTTGCGTACACCATCATATATAGGTAAATGATATCTGTAATTCTATATCCATGTACACGTGTGCACGAGAATTTCTGCCACTGCCACTTTTTTTGTTTCTTTAATTTCTGTGGTCTTCCGAGTCTTTCTGCTGTTTTCAGTTGTCTGCATGGTTGGAATTCATTCTAAGGATTTAGCAATAACTAATAAATCCCTGAAAAGTTGCTCAACAAGCTATTTCTATGAATATACGAGAACCCTTTTAATTTCCTGTTTTGCTTCCCTGGCTATTATATTACGTATATAAATTCATATGATTACAATGATAGAAATTCGTGGAGAAAATGTTTGTGCATACCCTTTTCAGATAATGGAAACTATCAAATAGCACAAAATTGCTAACTATATTTCTTTTTTGTACGTTTCCTCAGCTGCTGGATTCAAGCTTGAAATCATCGCTCCTTCCAGCTTATCTGGCTGCTGCCTTCTGTAAGAAATTGAGCAGACTCACACTCTTTGTTCCTCCCTCAGGAGCAATTGTCATTGTTGCCCTGGTTAACAACCTTCTACAGAAACATCCTTCAATTAGTTGTTTGGTGCATCAAGTAAGAACACCATCTTCTTTTTTTTTTTTTTACATTAATTTCTCTAGATTATACGGGTGGAGTTCGCATAATAGATCTTCAGAACACTAAATGTATTGAATTTAGTGACTACAATAAAATTATCAGGAGATCATGCCATTGCAAAAGTCATAGAAGTATCGATTTTAATCATATTATGTGCATTCCTTTTAACGGTGTTGAAAAGCTCACTCAGCGTTGCATATATCTGGCATGTAGGAACGAGATACTGGAGAAACTCCTGTAGGTGAAAAAAGAAAGCAAGGAATCGATCACTTCAAAAATGAGGAAATGGATCCTAAAAAGACTAATGCCATTAGTAAGTTTGTTCTCTATTTTTTGTTATTTGAATAAAAACCTCTCGACTTCGAGGTTTTACTATAAGAAAATCTGATGTATTCTCGGTTGGGTTAAAGAATTAACTAACATGTGCATATATCCGTGGGAATAACTTTGCAGGGAGCTCACTCTGGGAAATGGATACTCTTCGCCATCATTACTGCGCTCCAGTTTCGAGGTATTTTATTTACGTCTACAGTCTCTCTGTATATGTTCGTATTTCCTGCATGTTTAGTCACACACAGACTCAACTAATATCTCCACCGTGATTGGCTGATACATTACTCTTCTTACGTGTAATCAGATTCGCAGTGTCCCTAGCGAATGATTTGGCCGTGAGTGCAAGGGTTCCTGAAATTTCTGTTATAGATTTAAGTTCCGGTTCATATGGAACAATTTTCAACGATGAGGTAATTAAACCGCTTTCATTTTGCTCTAATTCTTCGGTTTTATAGTAAATAGCTGCTACCAGCTACTGTTATTAGTACAGTACCTCTCTCCTCGATTTATTGATCATTGCACAACATTGATATATATATGTTTTTGCAGATGAAGCGAAGGGTGAAACAAGTAGCGGGGGCATTCTACAATGCAACTCCTACATCTTTGTTCTCAGAGTCCGATTTTCCTGGTTGGGAATTCAAATTCACCGCGAATGGTAGTGAACCACACGAGGAATCCGCGAAACGACAGCGTACAGTGGGAGTTGAGGCCTAGTTTTTATTTGAAAAGAAAATTTTGATCCTTGTATTTTTTTTTTTTTACTTTCTTGAGATTTTTTTATGGCGAATCGCATCTTTCCCGTTTCTCTCGGAGTACAATGGGCGATTGTTCCAATTTGCCTTTTCCTGTTTGTAATATGAGTTTTATCTAATATTTGTAGTAGCTTTTGCTAGTATTTAGAGCATAACAGTATTTCAGTTTTAAGAACGTTGATTTGTTTCTTATAATTGGACCAAACAAATATCAGTTGTGAAAGAAAAAAATATATTTTGAGTTTTAAGTGTAAATAGATCTTTCTACAGTAAGCCTAATATTTTATAACTTCTTTTTTTCTTCTATTAACATTTGGGGGGTTTGTAATAAACTTTAGGGCGAATTGCATACAAGCCCAAGGAGGGAAATTTATTTGCACCTTCGATCAGACAACAAGAAATGAACAGCATAACCAAAAATGAAAAAACAAATCACCATCTACCAAATCATTTTCAGTTCAATCTCCTCCTTCGGGTTTCACGCGTGTCTTCAGTCCACGCGCCTTTTCTTGCGAGTGAAAACGGAGGCACACCCGTATTAAAATCCTGATCTGAATCATTAAACAATACATCATTTATCGAAATCTCGTCGTTAATCAAAGATTGCAGTTCTTGATCAACTAGCCATTCTCTATAATCATCATCATTTTCAGACACCACTACAAACGCATCTGCATTTTGTTGCCCTTCCGTTCTTTCGCAGCTCGTTTCTGCCAAACGCCCTCGATTTTTCTCGGTGCTTCGAGAAACAAGCGGGGTGCTAAAAGACACACCTTTTTGACAAACGGGGCATTTCTCGAAAGTCAAATGAACGTCCGAAAATCGATAGAAACACGACCGACAGAACAAGTGACGGCAGCAAGTCAAGACGGGCTCGTTCGCCGTGTGGAAGCATATATTACAACGACCGTCGATCTTTTCGACCGTTGTATCCATCTCCAACGCCGCCGCTACTAAACGGGAGCTCTCCGTTTTCGAGCATTTTTCCTCGGCTTCTGCTGGAATTCCCAAGCTGAAATAGTGACTGATGTGAATAGGGTTCCGCCGCACGCGGCGGCAGGTGATCCGCCGATGCCTGGCGGCGACGCCGTCGAGAAGTTGGATCCTCTCCTCTATAGTACTCCCACGCGCCGCCGCCACCACCAATCCGTTCAGGAAAGACCCGACTCCAACCGCGTCCACATCGAAATCCGTGAAACTTACGTCGATCATGTCGTCCATCACGACGACCATAGCGCACGAATTCTCGAGATTTTCGGAAAAAAATAGAAGCTTGCAAAAGAAACTATAATAATCTAACAAAATTGGGGATCAGAATAAAAGATGACGAGAAGAAGTTATGAATCTGCAAGAAAATGCAATGGAATTGATTAATTATTTGGGCTAGAGATTGATTATTTATCAGTTATGAATAGTGACAGTTATGATTTGTTCTATTCATAAGATGAGTGTAACTCATCGTGTAAGAGATAGAGAGAATTGTGCTACGGTTACTATTTTTTAGCTTCTTATTTTTTGACTTTTTCTTTTTTTTTTTTAATTTTTTTTTAATTTTTTATGTAAGATTCTTTTATTTTCATTCTTTGAATTAAGAAAGGTGGTGTTGTGGCTGATGAATTGAATGATTTTTGGAGGGAAAATTAGCAAAGGAATCAAGAGTCGAATATGGAGGGAAAACTTCTTTACATTATTTTTTACATATATATTTATTCTAGGGAGTTTATAAAATGCAGTACAATTTTGTTAGGCAAAATTGTAGTTTTGGTCCTCTATATTGGCCTATTTAGGAATTTAGTCCTCTAACTTGTCATGTTTTAGTTTTACATGCAATTACTTTGTAAATATAGTATTTTTAGTCCTATTTTGCACGATTTTTAATTTTACGACGCGTCAAATAAACTTGACGCATTTTTACTTATACAGACGCTTGGAAATTGATAATTTCGATATCTAATTTACCATTGGTAGAACTTTAATTATGTGAGACGACACATCTATAAACCAAATTAGAGAAGCATTTATAATTTTTAAGTGTCCATATAAATAAATTTCTGCGAGTTTGTTACGTACATCATTAAACGTTGGCTAAAATTCAAAGTTCGAGTGAAATATGACTAAAAATACTAATTTTGTATAGTTATTGCATGCAAAATTGAAATAAGACAACTTATAGGACTAAATCCCTAAAGAGACCAACATATAGGTCCAAAATTACAATTTTCCCATTTTGTTATATCCCGCAGTACAAATTTCAACATAACTCAAAAATCAATGTGTTCTAGGAGGCGAAATGAAACGTTGCCCCCTTTTTTTGTATTTTCTTACCGATAAGAACTATACAAAACCTTATTTTTTCACGAAAATATCGGAAAACAATTACACCACGCTTCACTGTCGTCGGAGTAACACCTCCACTACCGCCTGAAGCGAGTTCAGCCAAGTTGAAGAAAAAATAAAAATTAACCGGACCAGACCGGACCTCCCGAGTCTTTTTGCAATGGAGGCTTTACTCTTACCGGAATCTTGTGATTTTGATGTAACATATTGGGGGAAGGGGTAATTCCGTAATTCTATGGGGAGGGGTAATTCCGTAATTCAAGGGTCACGGGCAATTAGTTTCTTTTTCGTCAGTAGTAGAAACATAAACCAAATTACATCCTCATCCAAGGCTAACCGAAGCCCGTTTGGGGGTAAATCGGTAAATCATAGTAACATAAATTCGCATGACATTAACTGTAACCCCTTTCTTGTACTGCCGTCAACTGTAACCCCTTTCTTGTACTGCCGTCAACTCCGCTAAGGGTGATGGTGCATTTATCGAATAGTATGTGCTATATAACACCTTAAACCACATTACTGATGATGCCTGCAATTGTGACAGATAATGGTTTAAAAATGAAATGTACATTGCATATCTCATAACGCGTGTTTGAATTAATGGTGTCAACTCATTTATTCGTTCCAATTCAAATGGAAAAAAAAAAAAATCGGAGTCTGCACATATTGCAACGACAATTAAGTACGGAACATGGGCAGTTTGCCTAAATATCTATACTAATAAAGACAACTTTTGGGGGCATTCGGTAGTTCTCAACTCAAAAAGGTTGGCTGATTATCCATTAGAAAACGTAGTAAACACGAGACTTCGGATTCACATAATAAAATTCAGACATGTAGAGAAGATAACGAAGAAGAAGATAAGGGTAACGGTAACGAAATGCATCACTCAGATATAAGAAAAAATCATTTCCATTTACTCGTATGTGCTGAAACAGAGAAGCAATCATCAGACGGGCGAAAGCTCGTTTTTTTTACAAGTAACACAGATAATATATATATATATATATATATATATATATATATATATATATATATATATATATATATATATATATATATATATATATATATATATATATATATATATATATATATATATATATATATATATATATATATATAGATATATATATAGATATATATATAGATAGATATATAGATGGGTGTGTGTGTGTATAAATGTGTCGGGGGCCTTCTCTTAATCTAGATAAATTTATATTTATATGTATATATATAAATATCTATATCTCTCTCTCTCTCTCTATATCTATATATATATATATATATATATATATATATATATATATATATATATATATATATATATATATATATATATATATATATATATATATATATATCTATATATATATATATATATATATATATATATATATATATATATATATATATATATATATATATATATATATATATATATATATATATATATATATATATATTTCTTCCGGCAAAGAGAAAAACCCTTATCAAAAACTGTAGTTATCGACATCAAATTGACAACAAATAGAACCAATACACGACTTCATTTAACGCACGGACATCAAATTCCAGTACACGATAAAATAAAATCAAGATTTTACCAGCTTCCAAAGCATCAGTTCAGTTCAGTTCAATCTCCTCCTCCTCGTTTCGCGTGTATCTCGATTGTTCACATCTGAAGTCCTCGCCACCATGCTCCTGCTTCGGAGAAAATAAGGAGGCACATGCGACTCTACATTAACCGAAGAAGACGAAGAAGAAGCCTGCGCATGCGCATCGTTTATCGAGAACTGGTTGTTGATCACAGTTTGGAGGTCTTCAACGAGCCTCTCCGTATTACTCAAAGCAGACGAAAACGACGAAAGAGAAGCAGCCTCTCTTTCTCGTGTCTGATGGCTCACCGCACCACCACTACTCCTCAATCGCCTAAGCGCTTCTAAAACAGGAATATTCGGCGGGCTCACTGCACCACCATTGTTGTTCGCTCTCTGCTGTTGCCGAACACTCTCAATTCTCGGAGCTTTAAGCCTCGGCGGTATCATCAATCCAGATTCTGTCATCGACACGCGTTCGTGACCGCCTCCATTTCCGTAAATAGGAACTGTTGTGCTGTTCGACACCTCTCCTTTACAAACGGGGCATTCTTTGGTGGTCGAATCGATGTTCGAAACCTGGTAAAAACACGCCCAACAGAATAAGTGACCACAGCAAGTTAAGACGGGGTCCTTCGCCATATCCAAGCATATGTTGCAATCGTAGAAGCTTCCGGTTTTGGCGGGATCGTCTTCTTTGATCGCGGAATTCGATTCGAGAGCTGTGGCTACTAAATGGGAACGGTCTCTTTTGAAACCCTTGCCCTTGTGAGAAATATCCTCTGCTATGCCCATGTTGTTGATTCCATCCACGATTTCCATAGGGTTAGGGTTTTGGTGGTGGAGGCTCCTCTGCCGCTGCCGGTGGCGCTGCCGGGCGGTGACGGCCTCGAGCTGGCGGATCCTCTCCTCTATAGTCCCACGCGCCGTCGCCAATCCATTCAGAAAGGAACCGGCAACCGGGTCGGCGGGTTCCTGGTTCAAATCGAGATCCGAGAAATTCGAATCCATCAAATTGACATCGACCATCACAAGCAAAGCCGCCACCGATTCGGAAGATTGGGGGCAGAAAAACCCAATTTTTAATCCGACGCAGAATTAAAACCCCCCAAAAAATAAAAAAAATTAGAACTTGCAGATTAGCAATTAAACCCTTGATTAGCAAGTAGGAGGCTGTGTAGCAAACTGAAAACTGAACAAATTGAGATCAAAATCAAAGATGAGAGAAGAAATTAGTTTTACTCATGCATAAAATTCAGCGATTTCCTATCTTCTTATGTAGAACAGAGCCTTGAATTTGGAGAATTCTAGAGAGAGAGAGAAAGAAGAAAAACGGAATGCAGAAGGGATAGGTGAGAGAGAGCTCGTCCACCATTGCAAACTGACTAAAAGCTCTGGTGAAGTAATTGAAAGTCGAGTAGGGGATGGAAATTTGTTGAAATTAAAATTGATTTTTTTATTTTCGGACAGTATTTATTATTAAGAAAATTACAGTTTTTACCCCTAAAGTTTGCATCAATCTACACTTGGTCCCCAATATTAAAAAAAAAACACATTTGATCCCTTGTGTTTCAATAATTCAACACTTTTGGTCATTTTCTTCAGTTTAGCGTTAGTTAGTCAGTTAAGGCAGTCATCAACACACGCTTGATTCCGTTAGTACTAACGGAAAATTGATTGGAATGACTAAAAATGTTGAATTTTTGAAATATGAGGGATCAAATGTGTTTTTTTGTGAATATGAGTGACCAAATGTAAAATTGATGCAAACTTGAGGGGTGAAGATTGCAGTTCTCCCTAATTTTCAAATTTTTGATTTTGGGAAAATATTTCATTAATTTCAAATTTTGTTTTTTCTTTAAATTTGTTTTTGGGAACAAATTTGGAATACATTTCAGATTACGATTTTCGATGCGGTATTAATTTTCAAATATCCTGATTTTATTTTTCTCGAAAATTACACTTGTAAGACAGTAGAACCTCGATAAATTAATAACCTCGATTAAGTAATAATTTATTCCGACCCGACTCGGTAAAAATATAATTTTTTTTAGTTCGATAATTTAATATTTCGCTAAATTAATAGATTTTGCTAGTCCCCATTCTATTACTTTATAGAGCTTTAACTGTATTATTACTATTATGTATTTTGGTATTTCGAATACCCCGATCCCGATCCAGAAAAAAATTATGTTACGAAATAAGTTTTACATAACAATTTTTAAAATTTCGATTTTCAAATTTTTTGGGAACAAAATTAGATTTAGATTTGCTTTCGTTAAAAAAACATAATTTTTCGAAAAGTGCTAATTCAATGTGATCCATCCAAATTTAGATTTGGCATAGTAGTCTCTTTTATTTCCTTTTTAGCCGTATTTTTGGGCCTTTTTGTAATAGATTTTTAGGACTTTGCTTGTCCCGTTTTTATTCATTTCGTTTGTAAGGATACTCTTCTCCTTGTGAGGGCCCACAAAGATTTTAACGAGCCCCTTATACTTTCATAACTATATAATAGAATAAAATTTTTGGTTAAAACATAAAAAAAAAAGAAATATCAAAATTGATTTAAACACAACTCTATTGTAGGATCATACAAAGTTTTTATTTAATATATATAGCAAACAATCAATATATTTCAAAATCGAATTTTGTTTAAGTAGACTTAACAACAACATACAAACAAAATTATGAGAATAAAAAAAAAAATTGTATGAAATTATAAAAATAAAATAAAAATATAAATTCTCTTCTTGCAGGAATTATAACTAATCCCCGCTAATTAAGATGAGATTAATTATAAAAAAAAAAAAAAAACAGATCTAAACAGCGACATCTCCGCCGGCATAGTCTCCACCGCCACAGTCTCCACCTCCATCGACTGGTTCACCACTTCCTCCTCCAATTCCGAAAGCAGCCAGTTGAAAGACACCACCGCCACCACCACCGCCACCGCCACCGCCAAGACCGAAGACTTCCTGCAAGAAAACCCCCGTCACCGCCTGAGCAACTCCGCTGGCGGCTCCCTCCACCGCCGAACCTATGACCTGGTTCCTCATCCCGCCACCGTTAACAGGCCGTCCGGCAGCTGCATGACCGGCGGCCGGTTGGTTTATGTTGCTATACTGCGGCGGCGGCGGCACTCCAGCCGCCGCCGGATAAGGGGTTCCTACAAATTGATGCTGATTATTATTATAGGGTTGTCCAATAGCCACACCCTGATGCTGCTGCGGCATATTATTATAAGCTCCCATATTCTGTGGGTTCTGCGGCGGCGGAATAACCGATCTCGCCGTAATCATCGGCCGCAGCGCCGGCTGCTGAATCAGGGGCCGCGGCGGGGGGATTACCTTCGCCACACAGGTGACGTGGACATCGAACTCGCAGCCGCTGCAGCGGTACATCCAGGTATTGGAAGTAATCTTCTTGCAAAGATCGCAGGAAAACTTGTTCCCAGGATAAGGCGCGGTGAAAGTGAGGCTGAGCGGGTGGTTGTGGCACCGGTGGGGAAATTCGGCGCCCTGGTTCCCGCACGCGTCGCACCGGAATACGCCCTCGGCGTAGACGGGCTTCGGCTGGAGAACCAGCGCGTGGGTTTTGTCGAACGGGTGGTTGATCTGCTGCGGCAGCTGGTAGCATTTCTGGTGGAGGATGAAGTTGCAGGTTCTGCAGGCGTAGACGGCGGCGCCGGAGGCGGCGGCGGCGTCGAGTTTGCAGGCGGAGCAGTGTGAGAACTGGGTTAGGGTTTGGGGATCGACGAGCTGCAGTGGGTGTGGGTGGCTGAAATGGGTGGTCGCCGGAGCTTGATCGGAGGGTTTGACGGCGTTTGGATTCCCCATTGACTTTTGTGAATTGGAGATGGGATGATATTTTGTTGTGGTGTGGTTTTTAAGAAGACAATAGATGGTTGACTTTGATTGATGAAGTCAACTACATGTTATAAGAAGGCAAAGAGGAGTTTGCTTGTGTGTGTGTGTGATAGACGAAGTCAACTATAATTATTATTTATTTGGTGGTGGATTCATTAATGCGGCGCACTACTTTGAATTTATGCATGCTACACATTCTTTCCGATTGGATGATTACAGACAATTAGATGCTACATCTGTTTGTTTCTATCGGGTGAAATTTTTATCGTACATTTACATATAAATTACATACACTCATATATATATATATATATATATATATATATATATATATATATATATATATATATATCTATATATATATATGTGCTTCGTGAGCAATTATTTCATTAAATTTAATTACATGTAAATAATCACGTGTAACATTTAATTCACCAATAATTACAAAAGTCCAAGTCAACTGATCTACATCACAAGAATATATTACAAAAGGGTCATACCGTATCAATTACTTGTTATTTAATGTTTTCGGAATTGATCTCAGAAAAATAAATAAAGATTATTTGTTGTAATTCTAAAAAATAAAATAAAGATGATTTGTTGTAGTCAATAATTAGTCGAATGAACCCATCTCTCTGGTCTATTATTTGGGTCGATCACATATCTATGTGGGTCCCTTTATACAAGTTTGCTGCTAATTAAGAGTCCCTAGAATCGAATAAATAATCAATAGAAGTTGACTGACTCTAATTGCCTCTTATGGTCTTTAAAATCTGAACCCTTGCACGATCTATATTTTAATTAGAGATTTAGTTTCAACAAAAATCAATTTCTATATATTACAACTCTAGAAACAACAATAACTTTTTTTCTTTTTTAATTATATATATATATTACATTTCGTAGATTGCCCATCACCTCGTATCGAATATAATCAAATATCTCAAAATGCAGAGTGCTACGTCTGACGATCTGAGTTCGATATATCCCTCTTGCCAACATTTTCATTTGTCAGAAAAAAAATCTTGAAATGCACAATTGAATTAAGTAATATTTTTGTAATAATTAAAACAAATTCCTTTATCAAGGGGACGATTTGGTGAAATCGATCTTTCGACGTCAACTTATCGTGTGGAGCAAGCTAAGGTCTCATGCATGTTTCATCCATAAATAGACAAGGCATGCAACCTGGTTTTAAGGTTGAAAAGGTCTAGGGTTTCATTTTCAGGGCTTGCTGTACTTGTTCCTGTATTAGGTAATTAGATGCAGACAACATTGTATTATTTATATATGTCCAACTTGATTATTGTAAATTACATAATTTTTTCTCAATAGACTTGGCAAAACTTGGAAAAAAATATGACCGGTACGTTTATTCGATTTTTCAACTAAATGACGTACGTATTAATATAATCCATGTGATTACCCACTAAGTTTCCAATTGCAGAAATAAATAAATTAAACACTAAGTCTCAAATATGTCAAGCATGGTTCGATAACCTAACGCGTTCGACGACTCGATCAAAGTAAACATGTTCTCGATGTTTCTGGTTGTCGTCGAACATTTGGGCCAATTAAGATATTTTTACCCCAACAATTTATTTCCAGCTTCAATTGAAACATAAACATAGCAATTAGACCAACTATTTAATTATGACATCCATGCATACCAACCATTTATATAATTTTCTTTGTCATGTTACATATTTCTAGTCTTGATCTTTAAGCTTTTATTTGGTCGAGATCGATGATAATTACAAACATATATAGGCTATTTTCGAAAAGTTTCTGGTCATTAAATTTTTTAATTTTTTTTATTAAATTGCTAAAAGTATTATTTAGATTGATTGCTAAGTCATGAAATATCTACAAAATATATTTTTTTCAATCTTTCACATTTTATCACAAGGTTGATGAATTTATTAACGGAACCGGTCAATTTAAAAATGACGAATTCTATTTTACCTTAATTAAAAAAACCCGTCAAGACATAATATAATATTATTCCATTTTTTTTAATCAATTGAAAGAATCCTTTCAAACTATCTGACGTGCAGTTTCATGTAAAACTATTTAATGAGTTTTTTTTTTTTTTTTTTTAATCAATTTGCATGTTAAATACTAGAACTCGCGTCATTTTTTTTGATGAATTCTTTCGGTTAATTAAAAAAAAATGATTTTTCGCATCATTTGCTTGTCAAAGGGGTGAATGGTTTTCTCGACCATTTCGAAGCAAATCTTAGCTTGTGAAGGAAAAAAGTCTTGGCAAATTGTGCGGGAGTAGAATGTTCGATTGCATGCATATTGAACAAGAAGAAGAAGAAGATGATAAATTTAGGGTTTGTTGTTGTTGTTGATGAGCGGATCGTATACCATTTCGATCGTTCAATAAAATTCACATAATCGACCGAGTGATCTCTAATTTAATTTATTGAGTCTTATACTAGTAGAAAATTTGCTTTTTACTATGACATCTTTTACTACGGTCAAAAGCCGTAACAAAAGGAACTTTTTACTACGGGATAATTTTGAAGTCGTAGTAAATATTAGGATTTACCGTAGCAAAATTTTTGTCACGCCTGTGTATACTATGGGAAAAATTCGTAGCAAATGCGTAGTAAAAGCCTTTTTACTACGAATTTGATACCTTTTAATACGGTTAATAGTCGTAGTAAAAAAACATTTTTCTACTAGTATATGGAGATATATTTTGCAGATGGGTCGGTAAAGCCCCAAGTAAGGCACTAAGAAAATCGATACCATTTCCATCGCCGCCTAATCACCGTCTGCAAAGTGTCTTGACCGCCATTTAGGGACATTTTAAGTTCTTTTTGTTTAGACACAGTTTTATAAACTTGACGAGTTCCAAAGGAAAAAAATATAACGATAAAGTTTACAAATCATTTGAATTAAAAAATCGGAACTTCATTACTTTGAAAATTAACTGCAAATCGTAACTTTTTGGTTGTTGAAATATTTTGTTAGCCTGGGTTTGGCAGCAATTATTCACGTGGTGGAGGCCCGGGTATGGGCGACCCATAACCGAATGTCGTGGGCGCTTGTGTGTGTTGAATACACTATAATACTAGGGTTTACGACTTTCCTGACACCAATTGGTTATAGGACAACTGGTAGTGCACGATATCCTACAAGTGGTATTAAAGCCAATATCATGGGTTCGATTGATCAATTTCTGAGGGGGAGAGTGCTTTCAAAAAACAACCTTTACTTTACAAGTTGTTTAGTATGGTATTTTATTTTCGAGTGCAAAGTATAATATAGTCTAATTTTGAATGGAAAAATACAGTTTTCGTCCCTTACTTTGCACCGATGTGAACATAGGGGACTAAATGTAAAATAAATGCAAACTTGAAGGGTGAAAACTGTAATTTTCCCAATTTTGAATGCACAAAGTGCCTAAAAAGGAAAATTCTTGCTAAGCTTCTTGAAAATTATCTTATATATCTCACGCAATAGAAAATCACTTTGGACCATTTTCTTACCAATTTAAATATATGACCTACGTATCAAATATGTTGGTGATAATATTTTGTGAGAATTTTTAACTTGTAAGAGAAAATAATTAAATTATTTTGATGATATGTTTATTCCGTTTTGTAGTAGCATCGAAATTAGGTTGATCAAGATTGCATTCTGGCTGTTCCCGTTGGAAGCTGCTCACATGCACGAGATAAGGTGATCGATATGGCATTTTCCGGGGCATGGTAAGTTTACTGTTAAGTCTTGCTATCACCTAACCCTATATACCGAGGATGAATTTTGTGTCGTCCGCCTCCAATAGGTTCCATTAAGATAAATGTTGACGCTGCTTTTCCTCACTTTGTTGTTTCCGATCCATGGTGGGTGGCAAGGGATGATAGAGGAAATTGCATAATGAAGATATATCGTGGGCGAACCGAGAGTGGCCGGTGGACGGCGAGACATGTGCGGTGCGCTACAAGCTATATATGCGAGTGTCGTCGCAAATGAAGCGGTGGACCTCGATCATTATAGAAAGATTTATCGAAGCTCTGCACTAAGGTGGTGGAAGAATGTAACCATATAGCATTTTATTTTCAGCATTAATTGTTCTTTCCTGTTTATTAAATTCTCAGGTAATGTGAGCAGTTTTTGCTTAATAATATTATCTTCGAAATTAGGTTGAATACAGGAGGAGGAATAGAAAAAATAATTACTTGACATTTGTACCCTTTAAATACAAAAAGGGTGCCCTTGTTGACTTTCAAAAATTAGTTTTGAGTGCATTAACAATAATTTACTATTCCAAAGAATAAAATACTATGAATAATTAAAGAGAGAACAAAACGGCAAAATGCTACTCCCTCAGCTTCTTAAATAGGTATCCCACTTTAGCTCAACCTTAACTAACGGACTAACGGTAAATCGACGGAAATGACAAAAAATGTGAAATTATTGAAACATGAGGGACCAAATGTGTAATCAGTACAAACTCGAGGGATGAAAACTGTAATTTCACCAAAAAAAATTTCTCAAAAAAATAGATATTATCGGACACAGCGATTAACGATCAAAGTTGTATTAAAAAACCAAAGTTTATTGTAGCAAACAGTATAATGTGGAAAGAAATTGAGTACTGTTAGAGAATATTATATTATATAGAACTCTACGTTTCGACTGCGGGGGCGTGTTAGAGAATATTATATTATATAGAACTCTTGTGATATTAAGATTCTACTATGATTGAGTTACCTAGATTAGTTATGATTTAGTTACCTAGTCAAACTCTATTACCTTGCAATATTTCTCTATATATATTCCATGTAATCAACCCATAACACAATGGGGTTTCTATTCTATTCTTCCTATATGGTATCAGAGCACCAGGTTTAGGTTTTTTTTTTAACCTAGCCGCCATGGAGCTTCTCTTCTCCATGTCGGTGAAAACCTAGCCGCCTTTCTTCTCCATGGCGGCGACCACCCAATTTTCTCCCTCCCGGTGGTGGTACTCTTAATATCTTTCTTCTTCTTTATTTCTATGAACACCACCCGAATTTTCTCCCTCCCCGGTGGTGCTTCTCTATCTTTTTCTATCTTCTTCTTCTTCTTCTTCTTCTCCATGGCCTAAAACCTAGCCGCCGCTTCTCTTCTTCTCAACGGCCGGCGACCACCAAACCGAATTCTCTCTCTCTCTCTCTCTCTCTCTCTCTCAGTGGTGTATCTTCTCTATCTTCTTCTTCTTCTTCTTCTTCTTCTTCTTCTTCTTCTTCTTCTTCTTCTTCTTCTTCTCCATGGCCTAAAACCTAGCCGCCGCTTCTCTTCTTCTCCATGGCCGGCGACCACCAAACCGAATTTTCTCCCTCTCTCGGTGGTGTATCTTCTCTATCTTTTTCTTCTTCTTCTTCTTCTTCTCCATGGCCTAAAACCTAGCCGCTGCCTCTCTTCTTCTCCATGGCCGGCGACCCCCCTCAATCTTCTTCCCCCCTCTCTCATCTCTTCTCTCTATCTCGATAAAAAAAAAAAAAAAGTTTTCTTATTTTTCTCTCACCCGTTATTATTACTATTATTTTTTTTTAATTTGGCAGATATTTCAACAGAGGAATTCTCTAGCGATGTGTTTCGCGGTTTCTGTCCAGTCTTCACGTTTGAAGTTTCCAGTCTTCACGTTTGAAGTTTATTCGTTTTGTAGTTTATTCGTTCCGACTGCGGGAGCGTGTTAGCAAGTGATTGTCCAGTCTTCACGTTCGTCACGTTTCGACTGCGGGGGCGTGTTAGAGAATATTATATTATATAGAACTCTACGTTTCGACTGCGGGGGCGTGTTAGAGAATATTATATTATATAGAACTCTTGTGATATTAAGATTCTACTATGATTGAGTTACCTAGATTAGTTAGGATTTAGTTACCTAGTCAAACTCTATTACCTTGCAATATTTCTCCCATAACACAATGGGGGTTTCTATTCTATTCTTCCTATAAGTACGATATAATAAATTTCAAAGTCGAATTTTATGTAAGTAGACTCAAAAACAACATACAAACAAAAAAATAATTAAGAGATAAAAACAATTGTATGCATGAAATTACAAAACAAAAATAAAAATATTAAATCTCTTCTTGCAGGAATTATAATTCTCCGCCGCCGCCACAGTCTCCACCTCCATCGAATAGTCCACCACCGCCGCCTCCAATTCCCAAAACATCTAGTTGAAACAGACCAGCACCAGCGCCGCCGCCGCCAAAACCCAAGAGTTCTTGGATGACAGCCCCCCCTGCCGCCTGGAGCATGCCGCCGAAGAACGCCTGCGTCGCTCCAGCCACGATTTGGCCCCCTCCACTAGCAGGCCGTCCGGCAGCTACATTACCCGGTTGATTAAAGTTGCCATGCTGAATAGGCACTCCAGCTGCCGGATAAGGGGTTCCGGTTCCTACAAATTGCTGATTATGGGGTTGTCCAATTGGCACATGCTGATGCTGCTGCGGCATATTATTATAAGCTCCCATATTTTGTGGGTTCTGCGGCGGCGGAATGACCGATCTCGCCGTAATCATCGGCCGGGGCGCCTGCTGCTGAATCTGGGGCCGCGGCGGCGGGATTACTTTCGCCACACAGGTGACGTGGACATCGAACTCGCAGCCATTGCAGCGGTACATCCAGGTTTGGGAGGTGATCATCTTGCAAACATCGCAAGAAAACGTGTTCCCCTCGTAAGGCGCCGAGTAAGTGAGGCTGAGCGGGTGGTGGTGGCAATGGTGGGGCAACTCCGCCGCAAGAAATGCACATGTCGTGTGGAGGTCAACGCCACAGGGCCCGCACGTGTAAGAAAATCCGCCGCCCTGATTCCCGCAGGCGTCGCACCGGAAGACGCCTTCCGCGTAGACGGGCTGCGGCTGGAGAACAAGGGCGTGGGTTTTGTCGTACGGGTGGTTCATTTTCTGCGGCAGCTCGTAGCATTTCTGGTGGAGGATAAAGTTGCAGGGTCTGCAGGTGTAGACGGCGGCGGCGCCGCCGGAGTCGAGTTTGCAGGCGGAGCAGTGGGAGAATTGGGTTAGGGTTTGGGGATCTACCAGCTGCAGTGGGTGTGGGTGGCTGAAATGGGTGGTCGCCGGAGTTTGGTCGGAGGGTTTGGCGGCGTTTGGGTTCCCCATTGGCTGATATTGCAGAAGTGAAGTGTGTGTTTTCAAATAATGAATATGGTGGCGGGGTTTTAAGAAGAGAACAAATGGTTGACTTTGACATAGCGAGTCAACTATATTTGAGGAAGACAAAGTTAGAGATGAAGTCAACGGTGATTAATTTGCTGGATTAATGTTTAATGCAGGCGCACTACTTGGATTTTAAATTTATGCATGGTACGCATTATTTCTAGCTCATTGACATCATATAATAGGATTACTGGATTACAAATAATAGGATTAGTGGATTATAAAGACGGGAAGTTAGATGCTACACTTATTTACATCCCCTGATTTTGAACTGTAAATTTGATTATATAATTATCCACTAAACACCTATATACATGGGTGTGTGTAATTATGTGTAGATCTACAATTCAATTGAAATTTGTTGGGCTAAATAACTAACACGTAAGTGCACTACCGCAAACAAATAGTAAAAGTGGACTCGTGAGAGTCGGATGTCGATCCCACATGGAATACTCAAATTATCTAATCCTAATTACCGAATTCTAACAACTATGATTTTTATCCAGCATACGCAAGGTTGTCAAATTTAATCTACTAATTAATTGAACTAATTATAAAAGCAAATAAACAAGAGAGAATATCAATATAAAACGGATGATTTTATCTTCCCTCTATACGATAATTCATCACCCAATAAAACCCCTATCATGCAAAGTTACAATTCCTGATTATTAACCCGAGACACGAAATTACTCATGATAACCCGCTGTCGCGTGTATTATGAGTCTATTATTTATAACCGATTCACTATATGTCCATGCAAACCAATTATGAATAAAACATTAGCTAACAAGTCTCGCAAACGGCTACCTAAGGTAATATCTGTATGTCTACGACACCATATGCAATTAACACACTCATCCGGTGATCAAAACTACTCGAAAACTCTTCTATCCCTGTTCTAATTATTAAAACGATATGTCAATCAATTTCAACAATAACACATAGCAACATAAATTAGCTAGGTTCATGCGCCAAATAAGATCAAACATAAGAAATAATCATGAAATTTAAACTTGCATAATATTAGAAAAATAGGTTCGAATCAGAACATATGGTTCCAACAAAATACTAGATTAAAAGCTTAGCTACTCATGTTCTCTAAGAAAAACATCATAAAAATATAAAAAGAAATAGCTTAAGAAAAGATAGATGTAAGAAGAATTGTGATGAAGATTTGTAAATTCTCCGTCTTCGATTCTCCGTTCTCTCGCTCCTCTTCCTCCAAGATTGTGTAAAAAATGTCTTGATTCGTGCTTGGTTTTTGCCCATTTATAGATGTCTCAACTTGGTAGAAGATTTAGGTTTCCTATGTAATTAAAAGTCCAAAATTACTTCCAGCGTGTTTTCACACGGCCGCGCGAGAATCAGTGCAATTCTTACACGGCCGCGCGAGAATCGTCGAAACTTTCTACCCAAATTCTGCAGTTGGCACGACCGCGCCAAAAATAGGCTAAATCTGGCACGACCGCGCCAGGCCAATTTTTAACATCCGATTGTTTTCTTCCGTTTTTGACCTTTTTTGGCTCGTTTCATCCTTGGAACTCCCAAATCGTCAAGTTGTACCTAAAATACAATAAACCACTCATTAAGCACCATTAAATCAATAAAAGTATACAAAAATTCTCGTAAGAAAGTATACATTGAGTGTAAAATATACACTCAACAAAATTTATTCAGTGTAAATAATCAGGTGTAGAATTTATTTTCTCTTACAAAACCTTGCCCGACTTGTGTCAAATATCGATTACTCGTTACGGATAGAATGTTTCTTTTTGGAAAAAAAACTTTTTTTTTAATTGAAAATTTCTAAAACAAATTGAAAAACTGAAAATTAGAATTTCGGAAATCGTAAATTGTATTTTCAAATGCAACTTGACTATTCCATTTCTATTCACCTCTTATATAAAATAATAATATTGATAATTTGATATCATAATAAGTAATAACAATTTTCCAAAAAAAAAGGGCTTTTGGCACTTTGCACCCTTAAATTACAAAATTGGCAGATTGTATCCTTTAAATATAAATTGTTTGGCACTTTGCACACCAAATTACTTTTGGCTTAAAAAGATTACCTGCAACTTAGTGAAAACCTGAAAGATGGACAAATTTGTAATTACTAATTATTTATCCTCTTCCTCCAATTCTTAATCATCGTTCCACAATTTTTATCTTTCGTCCTTTTAATCAAAAAATCCTAAATTCTTTTTAGCCATTTCTATTTGCCCTAATATGTAATTAACTTCTGAGCTAAAAGTCAAGAATGATCGGAATATATAGACAAGAGTGTGATAACACACCTTCAGAAGAATCAAGTTTATTCCATGGTAACACTATTTTTTTAATCATTTTTCAGATACAAACTATTCAATGGGAGCACAAAATTCCTCCCATCATGAAATTAATAGGTACCCCTACCACCAAATAAAATTCCCCAGTAGCCTTATTTTGTCATTTGATTATTAAAAAAAATAAATTTTAAGGGCTCGGCCTAAAATTTCTAGCTACACTATTTTTCAAACTCAAAAGCAAAAAAAAAAAAAAAAAAAAAAAGAAAAACAAAAGTGATTTACTCTAATTGTTTAGTGTTTATACTGATTTACCACTTAAAGAAATGACTAAAAATATTTTTGGATTTTGTGATTAAAGGGATGAAAGATAAAAATGGTGGAATGGTGATGAACAATTGGGGGAAGAGGATACATATTAAGAAATTTATGAATTTACCCATCTTTCAGGTTTTCAGCAAGTTGCATGTAAGTTTTTTAAGCCAAAATTGATTTGGGGTGCAAATTAAAGAGCCAAACAATTTATATTTAAATGGTGCAATCTGCCAATTTTTGCAATTTAAGGGTGCAAGGATCCAAAGCGCCAAAAACCAAAAAAAAAATTGAATCACTTTAACAAAAATTATAATTGTATCGAAAACGGAAGTTATGTACAAATTTTTGAAAAATATTATGAACCAAAGTTATTGAAAATTGGATTAAAAAATATTTTACCGGAGACTTTAGTAAGTTGATAAATAAACGGATAGAAAACTAGACCCATTTTTATAGATTACCCATCATCACCTCGTATCGGAGAGAAGCAATAGTCTTGAAATGCACGCAATGCGATTTAATTGATGGAGCAAAGAAAACACGATATTTAACGAAACAAGTTCCTATATGAAACTTAATTGGCGGAGTAAAGAAAAATTTCGCGGGTAAATGAGTCGAGCTTGGCTGTTTTTTCTGATCTCAAGTTTACTTTGAGCATTGTTTTTCTGAGCTCAAGCTCGAGCCTTTTTGTGTATCTTTTTAGTAGTATTATTAGAAATTTATTATTATTACTTATACTAAAAAATTTTGAAATAAAAAAATGACCTGTAATTTTTTTAATTATTTACATGAATTTATGATTTATTTTATATTAATTATATTTCAAATAAAAAAAATTAAAAAAAAGCTCGCGAGCTCACAAACAACTAAAACTGAGCTCGAACTCGACTCTTCAAAGTGCTTGAACTCGAAAAATTCGAGTTCGAATTCGATCTTTTGTCGAGCCGGCTTGACTCATTTACACTCGTAGTTACAACTTACAAGTTCTATCGTAAAAAAAAAGGAATCTTGAAATTCAATAATTAAAGTAATATTTTGTAATAAATTAAATATATTCCCTTTATGGTTGTGAGTGGATATTTTGAGGTCAAATTATCGTGTGGTTTTTAGGTTGACAAGATCTGATTATTCATGGATTAGGTTATAGATGAAGACAACATGGTATAGTTTAATTTATGTCCATTTGGATTATAGTAAATTAATTATATTTTCCTCTAATTTTTTTTTAAAAAATAATGATACTTTTTCTGCATAGACTTTGGCAAGAAATGTAAAGACATGACCAATTTAATCGATATTTAACTAATGGACGCATTAATATATTCCAACTGGTTCCCCACTAAATTCAATCTCATTATTTTTTCTTTAATTGAAAGAATTCGTCCAAACAAAAGATAATTTTAAACTTATCTTATATATTATTTAATTAATTGAAATAATTCATCAACACAGATGATTTCATTCATTCATAATTATTTATTCAAGAATTCATCATTTATTTATGAGTATTTTTTAACTAATTTAAAAGTTGTAATAGAAATCGTCATTTATTTTGACGAATTCTTTCGATTAATTTAAAAAAAAAATGAAATATAATTTGTCATTTAATTACTATGACGAATTCTTTTGATTAATTTAAAAATATGAAGTAAAATTCTGTCATTTGGTTTGACGAATTCAACTAATTCATCAAAAAATAATTTTGATAAATTTATGAAAAATAATTTGTTTCATATATATTTCACCATTTTTTCTCTTTTGATATATTGAAATACTTAAGTTAAATCTCTTTTGGCAAATAGACTCAAACTTGGGTCAACCAACAAAAATTCACTTGCTTCAACCGCGCGCTGATCGAGCTCAATCAGTTGGTCAATGAAGTTAGCTTCTACGAACATAATCATATTTTACAGATATCCGGTTACATTAAACTATGATTTATTGATCTTGATCAACACCAACAAACCAAAAATTCTCTAATAATCTCTTTAATTTCTTTTAAAAATTGAGACAAACATGTAGAAGTTGAACTATTAGAGAGAAAATGTCCACACCATAACTTTGCAATGCATTCAAATCGATTTTTTTTTTCTTACATCCACGCTATTCGATTATGAACCACCCATATCCAAGCCACCATCACGTATGCATAATTGCCGCCCAAACCAGGCCAACGATTTACACCAACTTCTTATTGTCTTCAACCAAAGAAAGAAAAGCAAAATCACATCTTACAAAAATGGAAATTAAAAAAAGAAAAAACCCAAATTGATCAGAAAAGTTATTTCTTAATTCTTCCTTAAGAAAATGTCAAACCAAAAATCCAAGCAAGGCACCAATCAAATCAACAGCACCATTTCCGACGTCCGACAAATCTTGACCATCTATTTCGTCGTCATCACCGCCGTCGTCATCCATCTCCCCCGGCAAAGCACCCAAAACAACAATTCCACCACCAACAGTAAAAGTCCCCAAAGCAGCAATTCCACCACCACCAACACCGCCGCCACCACCCCTCACGCACTTCAAATGCGCGTAAAACTCACACGGTCTGCACCTATAAAGCCACTGACGCGAACCGGGCATCTGGCAAATAGCGCATGAAAACTTCTTGTTAGCATACAAGGATCCAAAAACAAGTTTCAGTCTGTGCACGTGACAGTCATGCGTGACAGAAAACGGCATGACGGCGCAATAATTATGCAAATCAGTGCCGCAAGGGTCGCAGTGGTAGGAGAAGCCCTTCCCCTTTTCACCACAAGCATCGCACCGAAAACGGCCTTCCTTATAAGCCGGCTTCGACAATAGGACTAAGACGTGTTCCTTATGAAAAGGGTGAATGATTTCCTTGGGCATGTCGAAGCAGCTCCCGTGAAGAAAAAAGTCGTTGCAAACCGTGCAGGAGTAGAGCCGCGTACCGGAGAGTTCGAGCTTGCATGCTGAACATGGTGAAGTAATTAGGGTTAGGGTTTCGGGATCGTGAGTGATGAGATTTAGAGGGTGGCGATGGCTGAAATGCTTTGGTAAAGCTTCTTTCTTGGGTTTAGAGCTTTTGTTTCCCATCCCCTTTTTCACTTTCAAATTCACACATACATGAGACAACAACTCTGCAAAGTTTAGGTTTATACTTAAAGAAGATAAGATAAAAGGACTTAAATTTAATTTGAGTAGGATATTAATTTTATTACAAAATCTTGTCATTTGTTTATTGATAGTGCATGCATTACGTGTAAACTTCTATTTACAAACTAGTCAAACATTTTCTGCTAATTACTTCATCCATCTGTTCCATAATATCTGTTTCGAGAATTTCTTTTTTCTATCACTTTAAATTTTCAACACTACTTAATTTTCGGTTTATACCCCTATTAATTCTTTCCAACAATCCTTTTCTTTTAACTCAGTTCTCTCTCTTATTAAATATAAAACAAGGTTATTTTAGTCTAAAAATATACATTTTTCTAAAATAAAGACACTTTTAATGAAATACTTAATCCTTGTGCAAAAAAAAAAGTACGATTAAAAGGGAACGAATGAAGTAAAATATACTAGATATATAATATAATCTGATATTGTTGATGAATTCGGGGCCAGTTCATGGGGAAAATATATATATATATATATATATATATATATATATATATATATATATATATATATATATATATATATATATATATATATATATATATATATATATATATATATATATATATATATATATATATATATATATATATATATATATATATATATATATATATATATATATATATATATATATATATATATATATATATATATATATATATATATTGAGTTGTTCGTGGATTACAATTATACGCTTTCATTAAATTAATGTGACATGATGAGTATCTAGGTTTTATATATATCTTTAAATAACTAGAAGATTACAGTAGTTCTCCAAGCTCTATCTGATTATTTCTCTCTTAATTAGTTTATGGTCATGAATACAGTGATATATATTATTTACTTGCATCATTACCTAACTATTTGTTCTAGGGATTCAATAATATAATAATGTGACCTAGTTATGATGCAATGAATTGATTTATCAATTTAGTTGAATAGTCCAATATTATAACTGTTGGGTGCTAAATACCAACACGCAAGTTCACGTATCGCAAACAAGTAGTAAAGTGGACTCGTGAGAGTCGGATGTCGATCCCACAGGGAATACTCAAATTATTTAATCCTAAGTACCAAATTTTAACAACTATGATTTTTATCCAGCCTACACAAGTTTGTCAAATTAATCAACTAAACAATTAAACTAATTAAGAAAGCAATTAAACACGAGAAAATATCAATATAAAACGGATTTAGGATTTTATCTTCCCCTATGCGATAATTCTTCACCCAATTAATCTTCTATCATGCAAGTTACGATTCCCGATTATTAACCCAAGACACGAAATTACTCATAACCAGCTGTCGCGTGTATTATAAGTCTATTATTCATAAACGATTTACTATATGTCTATGCAAACCTAGTATGAATAAAACATTAAATAACAAGTCTCGCAAACGGCTACCTAAGGTATTATCTATATGTCTATGATAATACATGCAATTAACACACTCATCCGGTGAAAACTACTCGAAGGCTCTTCTATCCCTGTTCTAATTATTAAAACGATCTGTCAATCAATTCTAACAATAACAAATAGCAACATAAATTAGCTACGTTCATGCGTTAAATAAGATCAAAATAGAAGAAATAATCGAAGAATTAAACTTGCATAAAAGTAGAAAAATAGGTTCAAATTACCACATAGGGTTCCAATAAAATCCTAGAATAAAAATTTAGCTACTCATGTTCTCTACGAAAAGCATAATAAAAATACGAAAGTTCATAAAAATCGAAAAATAAAAGTAAAGGGAGAACTATGATGAAGATTCGTCAAGTCTTCGTCTTCGTTCTCTTGCTCCTAGATTGCGTGCAGAAAAGATAAAAGATAGATACCTAATTGTGTGCTATTTGGCCTTTAAATAGGGTGCAAAAATATAAAAGGGCGGTTTCCTTGTGTAATTAAAATTCCTTCACTGCGCCACTTCGTTCATACGGACGGCCGTGCGAGAATTCCTTCTTAAATCCGGACGGCCGTCCGGTCTTTAATTCTTCAGAGTTCTGATTTTTTCACTTTGGCCCACTTTTTCTCCGAATTTGCAATTTTTACCCCATAAGTTGCCAATTCTTCAATTTGCACCTAAAATACAAATAATAACCATTTTAAGCACCAATTATCGTTAAAACACACCAAAAGTTCCAATTAAAAGGTACAATTGAGTGTATAAATATACACTTAACACACCCCAAAACTTGAACTTTTGCTTGTCCTCAAGTAAAATCAATTTATGAGCACAAAACACGACTATACATCTCATTACATAGATCGATTGGTCAACTTCGCGTTTTCAGAACTTGCAATTATGATGATAATTCCTAGGTATTCGCAAGCTTAACATTCAACGGCACTTAGTCACTTACTATCACAAAAAACCACAAATCATACAATTGCTTCAAGTATCCAATATTTGCAAGTTAAAGATAGAAAGAATTTATACTTACATGCATATATTTGACTCCAAATACTCACCAAATTATTTTACTCAACTAATATTGAACAATAAGCTATTGGGATCATTGGGACTTTGTGGCTTTCAATTGTTAGGCTCTTTGGTCCGAGGTACGTAATGTGGGTATGTGTGGCTAATTTTTCTTGAATTGAGGTGATTACGCCAAAATAGGCGTTTGAAACAATGAATTCACCTCTAGGGACTTTAATAAACTCGATTCTCCAAAATTCACACGTCAACACTTTTGCCTTTTAGGCAATGGATCGAGTTTTCAACACAATTCAACAACTAGTCCTTATTTCTCCCTTCTAATCTATTCTTCTTCTTCTTTTTCTTTAAATTTTTTTTTTTTTTTGAATCGAAGAATTTATATATATATATATATATATATATATATATATATATATATATAAAGATGCACATATATATCTATATCTTAATTTCTTTTTTTTTTTTTTTTTTTCGAAGAAGAAGAAAGATCTTATAAGAATTTTCGACCGACCTCCAAGGGATAATTATTCAACAATCTCCATTTTTCGACCTTCCACATATTGGCTAAAAGAAAGAACACCTTTTCTCCGAGGCTCAAATCAAGGTTCTAAGGATAAATTCGACAAAAAGGGTAGGCTTGAAAGGCTCAAACGGTTCAAAGAAGGCCCAAATCATATCCCAAATCACTTACTACCCAACACTTCGTATCATAAATGTCCTAATGTGAGATTTAAAACCGAACAAAGCATGATTTAGCACAAATAAATTCCAAATTTAAAATACAAAATCTTCAACCAAAGCAATGCATAAGGTGTGATTCCTAGCAATAATTCACTTCTACGTTCCGTTGAATCGAAAGCTAAACGAATATCTACTCCTTATCAACATAAAACAAGTAATCTCATCATCAAACATTGACCATCTCCCATCATCATAATTCATCGCTGCATCGAACCAATTTTTTTTTTTTTTTTTTTTTTCAAAGCAAATAATAAAACGGGAATAATAAAACGACAAAAACAAAAATTAAAGCATGCAAACTAACAAACAAGTAAAACACAAATAAGGCGCACATAAAAGAAAACAAGTAGTTAACCACCCCCAAACTTAAAATTCACATTGCCCTCAATGTGATTCGCCCGGAGTTTAAGGATAAAAAACACATGTTTAAGCGTCGGGACCATAGTCGGGCTGCTCACCAACTCCACCTTGCGCATGAGCATCACCATCCTCCTCATCATCCAAAAGCTCGGGTACCGGCTCAAGAATCGGTGCGGGCAACGGAGCCGGTTCGGCGCACTCGGGAGTACCGCACGCCAAATGGCGCACAATGGCTTGGAGCATCTTCCCCGACCACCGTTGAAGGGATTCGATTGTGCTCACCTTGTGCTCCACCGTGGCAAGCCGATTTCTAGTGATCACCAACTATCGCTCCATTCTTCTTTGAAAACGGCGGTCCGAGCTTGTGCTTGGACCCTCGGGTGGAGCTATTGGTTGGTTATCGACGGGTTGCTCTCCATCTTGGATGGGTGCCTTGTATTGTCGGGCCGCAAGGTTACTCATCGGCTTCTGAATCAGTGTGAGAATATCCGTTGTTTTGGTCGGGACCTTCGCCTTCTTGCATAAGCCGGTAACGAGGCAAGGGAAATAAAACCCTTTGGCGTTGTTGACCATGGAGATCCAAAAATGTTCGGCTATGATTTCGCCAATGTTGATCGGTGTGCCCTTTAGAATGTAGTATGCAAGAGCGCACCGTTCGGGGTCCACGTGAGTCCACGAGCGGGTGGGGATGAGGTTAGCACATATGAAAGTAAGGCACGCCTTGCCTACTTGGTGGATGCATTTCCACTCTAACTCGTATGCCTCCTCGGTTGAGAGTTCGGACCAAATTGGGGGCCGATCGCACAACACCTCGCCGAGTTGATCTCTTGTGACCGCAAGTTGCATTTGCTCCCAATTGAATGGCTCATGTCGGAGGTGATAAAAGGTGTTGATAGCTTTGGCACGCCAATCGACCCGCTTTCCTCGAACCGTGCTCGACTTCCGATCCGTTGTTAGGAGGATACGGGTGTTGGCGTAGAACTCGCGGACCAACGATAAGTTGATCGACCCTTCCGGTTCCAAAAATGCTTGCCACCCTCGTCGTATGAATTCATGATGCAACGGGGCAAATTGTGGAAGGGTGATCTCATATGCACGCTCCGTCACAAGTTTCTTCACTTTTTGCTTCTCAAAACGAGCACTGGCGCCTTTGACACAAAAAGCATCGTCGTCGGGGGTTAGAATTTGGTCGGTTTTCTTGCCCTTCCCCTTGCTCTTTGAAGTACCTTCGCCTTGTGAGGTGCCCTCCCCGTCACGTCCTCGTTTCCCCATGACTTGAGAATGCGTGTGGAAGGGATTAGAAGTGAATTGATGTGCAAAATTTTCCCCAAACTCGAGTTGAGCAATTCGTCGAACACCTTGTGAGCGTTCTTGGTGGAATGGATTTTTAGAGCAAATTGCACCTTGCTTGAATCCTCCCTGCGCAAATCAACAACAAACCACCGAGATTAAGTAATAAATGTGTGTAATTGGTGAATTTTCGGTGAAATTTGGCAAAGAAAAGGAAAAAATTCGAAAGAGGAAGACTAGGGTTCGAAGTGGGGGAGAGGGAGAATTCGGAATTGTGAAGATTGGGGTGTGAAAAACCCTTCTTTAATATGCCCGTTTTTTGATTCGCACGGCCGTGCGAGATTTAGGGTAAAAATCTGCACGGCCGCGCCCTTTTGCGGAATTGGGCAGTAGCCTCTCCAAATTTCGGACGGCCGTGCGAGATTTAGGTATAAATTCCGCACGGCCGCGCCGGTTCTCACTTTTGGCAGTAGCTTTTTTTTTTTTCCTCGGATGGCCGTGCGAATTTGTAGTTACTTTGTCCGCACGGCCGCGCCCTTTGCTGATTTTGTCCAGTAGCATCACCGAAATCTCACACGGCCGTGTGAGATTCCTGCCTTTTTCTTGCACGGCCGTGTGAAAAATTGCAATTAGGCCCCTGAAAAATAAAAACTTCTTATTAGTGCCCCTGAATTTTTTTTTTAAACTAAAACTAAAATAAAAGAAAATAAAATAAAACTAAAATAAAAGAAAATAAAATAAAATAAAAGAACGAAATCTCGGGTTGCCTCCCGAGAAGCGCTAAGTTTACAGTCTTCAGCCGAACTTTGTCTGCTTCTTTGTTCAAGCTAACGTGACCGAAGTCACTTGGCGATTGAATTCCTCTCCTTGATAATGCTCGTTTGATTCTTTAGGTGGCCACATCCTCTTTGCACGTTCATCACCGTTGGCACCCCAACTCTTTTGACTATCTCTCGGAGGAGTTGAACTTGAGTCCGCACAATAAATGTGTTCCTTCCGATTCCCTTCTTCGCCGTCATCTCCTGCACTCAACAATGCTTTCCCATGGTCCAAAATTGAAACATCAAATTTTTCATGATTTGTAAAGTCCATGAGATCAAAAGTAAAACACTCATTATTATCACATGGATTTTTATTAGCACAAAAAACATTAAATTTGATGGTCTCATCATGCACTGTCATTGTAAGATCACCACTAGCACAATCAATTAGAGTCTTCGAAGTGAGGTATCTCCTTATCTTCATCTATATCGAGTACAAGAAAATCGACCGGGAAGATAAATTTGTTCACCTTTACTAGCACATTCTCTAAAATACCTTTTGGGTAAACTAAAGACCTATCGGCTAATTGAAGAGTTATAGCCGTAGGTTCAATCTCACTTGACCCAAGATTTTTGTAAGTGGAATAAGACATAAGATTAATGCTAGCACCTAAATCTATGAGCGATCTAAAATTTTTACCTCCTATAGTACAAGGGATAGTGAACTTACCTCGATCGCCGAGTTTTTGTGGAAGGGGCCGTGTAAGAATTGCACTGCATTGCTCCGTGAGTTGGATCATCTCGTTCCCTTGCAATTTCTTCCTCTTTGTCACGAGATCCTTGAGGAATTTCACCCACTTTGGCATCTTTTGAATGGCTTCGATAAACGGAATATTTATTTGGATTTCTTTCAACTTGTCCAAAAATCCTTGGTGCTCGGCATCGAGCTTCTTCTTTATAAGCTTCTGAGGGTATGGAATTGGAGGCCGGGCTCGTGATTTCACTGTTGATGATAGCGGTTCTTCGTAAGTTGCTTCTTTTTCTCCAATCACGCTCAGCTTCTCGATTACCGTGTTTTGCTTCTCTTTTCGTGGGGCTTCCTCCAATTGTCTCCCATTCCTTAAACTTACAGCGTTGCATTGCTCGACGTTGTTCTTCCGAGGATCTTCTGTATTTGACGGCAATGCTCCCGATGGCCTCGCGGTTAGCTGGGTTGCAAGTTGACCCATCTGTGTTTCCAAATTTCGGATGGAGGCTTGGGTGGTTGTCATAAATTGCGCCAAGATATTTGCGAGATCTCCTCCTTGAGGTTGAGATTGAGGCGGATTTTGAAATCCGGGAGCTGGTCGTGAATAATTAGGTGGTTGACCTTGAGGTGGTGCTTGCCTTTGTCCTTGCTGATTTCCTCCCCACCCAAAGTTAGGGTGATCCTTCCATCCCGAATTATACGTGTTGGAGTACGGGTTCCTCTGTTGTCAAGTGGTGTCATGCACATAATTCAGAGACTCCGTTTCTTTTACGCGCTGGTCGGGAACTTGGACTGCATGGACTTGTTGAGTTTGCAAAGCCGCTACTTGCTTTGATAGCTTCTCTAACTGGGCCGTGATTGCAGTGACTCCGTCTAACTCCAAAATTCCTCCCGTTTTAGCGGCTCCGCTGTTTGACCGATCCGGTGCCCGCATGTATTTATTTCTAGCGATTCGCTCCAAGAGTTCGTATGCTTCGTCGTAGGTCAAACTCATGAACATGCCTCCAGCTGCAGAGTCGAGCACGGTTCTCGAGTTGTCTTGCAATCCATCGTAAAATATTTGCAGTTGGCGCCACTCTTGAAGTCCGTGATTCGGGCACCTCCTTACTAACTGTTTGAACCGCTCCCACGTCTCGAATAATGCTTCACCGGCTTCTTGTATGAAGTTTTGAATTTCTCTCCGGATTCTCTCAGTTTTTGTTGGGGAGTTGTATGTGTTCATGAAAAGTTGTGCTACTCCGTTCATCTTGTGCGAGTCACACGTTTCGAGGAAGTTGACTAAGTGGAGATGTGGATCTTCATGAGCCAATCCGCTGAATAAACCATTGTTTTGGAGCATCGTGAGAAGTCCTGCTCGAATTTCGAAATTGTTGGCTTCAATGGGGGGCTGTTGGATGCTTGATTAAACCCATTGAGTGTTGGAACGGTGTAATCATGCAGTGCTCGTTGACGAGGTGGTGGATTAATTAGCTGGCTTTGCTCTTGCTCAATGACGACTTCCCCCACCGCATTCGGTAGGCGCCCTTGGTCTTCTCCCCCACGATTAATCTCTTCTTCCATCGTTGCGGGAGCGTTTTGAGCTAACCGTTGATTTCTCCTGGCTTGCCTAAACGTTCGCTCAATTTCGGGATCGAGAGGTAGCAAGTTCGTGTCGTGTCCTCTTCGCATAAAAAGTACCTAAAACAAAATAATTAAATAATTAAATAAAATAAAAAAATTGGCTGAAGTAAGAAAAATTGCTCAAATTTAATATTAGGATAAATAAATAATTTAGCCGTATTCCTCGGCAACGGCGCCAAAAACTTGTTGGGTGCTAAATACCAACACGCAAGTGCACGTATCGCAAACAAGTAGTAAAGTGGACTCGTGAGAGTCGGATGTCGATCCCACATGGAATACTCAAATTATTTAATCCTAAGTACCAAATTTTAACAACTATGATTTTTATCCAGCCTACGCAAGTTTGTCAAATTAATCAACTAAACAATTAAACTAATTAAGAAAGCAATTAAACACGAGAAAATATCAATATAAAACGGATCTAGGATTTTATCTTCCCCATATGCGATAATTCTTCACCCAATTAATCTTCTATCATGCAAGTTACGATTCCCGATTATTAACCCAAGACACGAAATTACTCATAACCAGCTGTCGCGTGTATTATAAGTCTATTATTCATAAACGATTTACTATATGTCTATGCAAACCTAGTATGAATAAAACATTAAATAACAAGGTATTATCTATATGTCTACGATAATACATGCAATTAACACACTCATCCGGTGAAAACTACTCGAAGGCTCTTCTATCCCTGTTCTAATTATTAAAACGATCTGTCAATCAATTCTAACAATAACAAATAGCAACATAAATTAGCTACGTTCATGCGTTAAATAAGATCAAAATAGAAGAAATAATCGAAGAATTAAACTTGCATAAAAGTAGAAAAATAAGTTCGAATTACCACATAGGGTTCGAATAAAATCCTAGAATAAAAATTTAGCTACTCATGTTCTCTACGAAAAACATAATAAAAATACGAAAGTTTATAAAAATCGAAAAATAAAAGTAAAGTGAGAACTATGATGAAGATTCGTCACGTCTTCGTCTTCGTTCTCTTGCTCCTAGATTGCGTGTAGAAAAGATAAAAGATAGATACCTAATTGTGTGCTATTTGGCCTTTAAATAGGGTGCGAAAATATAAAAGAGCGGTTTCCTTGTGTAATTAAAATTCCTTCACTGCGCCACTTCGTTCATCCGGACGGCCGTGCGAGAATTCCTTTTTAAATCCGGACGGCCGTCCGGTCTTTAATTCTACAGAGTTCTGATTTTTTCACTTTTGACTCACTTTTTCTCCGAATTTGCAGTTTTTACCCCATAAGTTGCCAATTCTTCAATTTGCACCTAAAATACAAATAATAACCATTTTAAGCACCAATTATCGTTAAAACACACCAAAAGTTCCAATTAAAAGGTACAATTAAGTGTATAAATATACACTTAACAATAACACTTAACCCTTGGGTATATTAAAATAACTTTAGGTCCCTGTGGTATTAATAATTACAATGACCCTTTGACATATCGTTTGAAATGGGTGATCGCCGGAGTTTGACCGGAGGGTTTGGCGGCGTTTGCGTTCCCCATTGTGTTGTGTGATGTATGATTTCAGATAATGAATATGGTGGTCATGAGGTTTTAAGAAGACAATAATACATGGTTGACTTTTATAAGTGGAGTCAACCGTTATATAAGATCAAGATGTCAAAGAGGCTAGGGTTTGCTGCTTGAGTGAAAGACCAAGTCAACCATGATTATCATTTGATTAATCCAGGCGCACTACTTGGCATTATTTTTGGTTGGATAATTAAACCGTCCAAGTCGAACTCTATTACAATTTTTTTATAAAGTAATATAATGGGGACAAATCAAATTCTATTAATTAAGTGAAATATTAATTTAGCGTAATATTTTTTTAACACATTGTCCTTTAGTCGGGATCGAAAGAAATATTTTTTACAAGAGTTTATGAATTTATCGAGTATTAATTTATCAAAAGTTCTACTGTTCATCTTAGTGATAACAAAGGAATGACACCGACTTGTAAGTTGTATCAATTACCAATGTGGTAAGAACCGGACCGGACCGGCCGGCTCGACCGGTTCAAGCGCGACCCGTGACTGATCCGGTCCGGTTCAACACCCAAAACCGTGAAAAATGAAAACCGGAGTCGATCTGCTCGGAACCGGAAAAGGCCCGGTCGAACCACTCAAAACCGGTGAAAAACTCGCACAAAACCGGCAAAAAACCCTGTCAAACCCGGTTTCAAAACAAAAGGCCAAAGACAAAAAAATATATATACCTGAATTTAATTTATGGAATGAGCTTTGAGAGATGTGCAAGTTATGTGATAATTATAATAATATTTTGCTGTGGTGGATGAGTTATGGGAAAAAGGAAGAAGAGTACAAGAAAAAAAAAATGTATTTTGCAGGGAGCAGCCTCGTTGAGATGGAGCCGCCGCTTGAAAGAAAAGAATGGAAGGGAATGGCCGCAATAAACAAATTAGGGTTTTTTTGCAACTAGAAATATTTTTTAGGGTAAATTACAAACACCCCTGAGGTATGATCAAATTACAAAAACACCCCTGTTGTTTGGGTAATTACAACCACCCCCTCAACTACTCAAATTTAGTAGAATCTTCGAGATTATATGGAATATTATCACTTTTGTACCCGTTTTATCCCATTCAAACTCTACATTATGAAGCAAGATGATCATAATATGTGATTTTTAGCTTGTATATATTAGTTTGTGGTGCATCGGAAACTGTAGTTTTACACAAAACGAGTACAAACTAGAGCACATCCCACGGAATCTAGATGATTATGTTGAATTTGGCACCATAAGAGTGGAGGTGTAAGAAAAAATCATAGTTGAGGGGGTAGATGTAATTATCCAAACAAGAGGGGGTTTTTGTAATTTGACCATACCTCAGGGGTGTTTGTAATTTACCCTATTTTTTATTATACTATAGCAGTGACATATTTTAATTTATTATTTATGTTTAGAAAATCACTAATATAATTTATTATAATATTTGTGAAATATTTTAATTTATTATTTATGTTTAGAAAATCACTAATATTATTTATTATAATATTTGTGAAATATTTTAATTTATTATTTATGTTTAGAAAATCACTATTTTATGTTGAAGTTTTAATTTTGTGAAAAATACATATTTTAAAAACAATCAACTCAAAATTATATATAAAAATTAGTTAAATAAATAAATAAGTAAAAAACCCGGGTTGAACCCGGTTGAACCGGTCCAACCGTGACCCGAATTCCTAGCCGGTTTTGTGTCCGGTCCGGTTCTGATAACATTGTCAATTACTCATGTGCAAATCCGATCACATCGGATTTAGTATTTATTAGAAACAAATATTATTTGAAAATAAACATTCTAAAGTGTTTGGAAAATTGAAAATTAGAACTTCAAACATAATTTTTTGGTACAAAATGATTATTTTCAGAATTATCGGCTCGACTACACATATTACATTTTGCAGATTACACGTCCCGTTGTGTCCGATAGAAGCAATAATCTTGAAATACACTTCATAAAAGTGATCTAGTTGGCGGGTAAACAACGCCAACCATAACAATGCCATGTCAACCAGGGTTCAATAACTTAATGAGTTCGACTCGAAGAAATTAATTAATTGATTAATTAAACATACTCTCCATATTTCTAGTTGTCGAAGATAATTTTTATCCAAATAATATATAGCTTAAAAGTGAAATAGAATTTGTCATTTACAATTATTTTTTAGGAATTCATCATATATTTATGAGTATTTTTTAAAATTAATTAAAAAAAAAGTGAAATAGTACTCTTCTTCTTTTTTTTTTTTCTTTTTTTTAATGAATTCTCTCGATTTATTAAAAAAATGAAAATAATTTGGCTAACTCTTTTGACGAACTCTTTTGATTAATTTAAAAATGTGAAATAAAATTCGCACCTGCTGGTTTGACGAAATTCAACTGATTAACCATAAAATAAATGTGATTTATTTTGATAAATTCATGACAAATATATATATATATATATATATATATATATATATATATATATATATATATATATATATATATATATATATATTTCCGACATAAAATGTTTTCAAAACGCGGAATTGAAGTTTCTGTGCTGCACAGACTATAATAATCTACTATTAATACTTCTCTACCATAAAAGATTGTAACCGATTGGAAGTAAAGAAAAATGCAAACCATAGTATTAGTTATTACATTACATTCAAACACACACAAAAGACACGGTCAGGGTGCATTTGGATTGAAGGATTAATTAATTTAGAGAAGGAAATTCAAATCCATAATAACAAATCCCACCGAAAAAAGAGTTGTCTAACACCTCTAATTTGTTTAGGGTTTGTGGAACATTAATCAAAAGGTAAACCCTCCAAGTAAGCCAGTAAAAACATCAATAGTATCTCCATCTTCCAATAAAGATTGTATCGGATCCACTCCACTAATTCCTCCATCACCATCACCATCACCTTCAATCACCGCCGCCTGCAAATCAGAATTGTCACCAGCAACATCACCACCGTCGCCGCCACTGCCGCCACCACCATCATCTATTTGTAGGGCTTGAAAAGAGTACTCTTGGCCGCCTTCACCACCATCCTCTTGGCTGCCGCCGCTACTGTGGCTATTATTGTCAGATATCAACTGAATCAGCTGATGTAATCCCCTGTTATTAACTCCTCCAGAACTATCGCCGCCCCCTGAAAGTAACGCGTGAGCTACTGCGCTTACGTTGTCACTAATCAATTGCTGAAGGAGTTTAAGAGTCAATTCATCTTTCTGTACGTTGACCTCAAAAGGAGGATCATTCATCACATTTGGCTGCTGCTGCTGCAGCAGAGGCGCTGATGGACTCGATATCGAACACGTGGCGGGCGGCTTTTCATCGTTGGGCTCTAACGGTGAAGGGATAGTAGGCGGAACGCCTCTGGCACAATTGACATGCGCGTCGAATTCACAAGATTTGCACCTATAAAGCCAGTCGCGTGAATTTCCAAGGCAACGGCATATATCACAGGAGAACTTGTTGTTGCGGTATGGGGATTCAAAAGTAAGATCGAGACTATGCTTGGTGTGGGAAATATGTGTGACGGATAACGGCAGTTGGGCGCAAAATACATGCAAACTGATGCGGCAAAGTTTGCAGTTGTAGGAGAAGCCCTTCCCTGTTTTACCGCAGGCTTCGCATCTGAATCGGGCTTTGCTGTACGCGGCGGGCATGGGCAGAAGGGCTAAAGGGTGTTGCCTGTGAAAGGGGTGAATGATTTTCTTCGCCATTTCGAAGCAGATCTTGTGGAGGAAATAGTCGCTGCAAATTGTGCATGAGTAGAATGTTCCCGAAATATTCAGATTGCATCCTGAACAAGACGATGAAGAAGATGATAAATTTAGGGTTTGTTGTTGATGATGATGATGATCATAGATGATGAGGTTCAATGGGTGTGGACAGGGCCGGTCCTGGACTTTTAGAGGCCCTGGGCGAAAATATAAACCGGTGCCCCGAAATATGTATGCTCAAATATATATATATATATATATATATATATATATATATATATATATATATATATATGAGACAAATTACGGCGACCCCCTAAATTATGGTCACATTATAAAAACATCCCTCATGTTTGGGTAATTACAGACACCCCTCAACTAAGTATTATCTTGGTATCTTACGAAATAATCCTCTAGAGATAAATTTAGGGATGTTAAATCGGTAAAATCGAACCTAAATTTCGGTACGCCAACATTTTATTCCGTTTACCGAACTAAATATACGATTTGGTACGGTAAATAACCCAATTACATCAATTTTATGTAAAAATATTTAAATGAACGGGGTTGTAATTACCCAATTAAAATGATTTTTTTTTTTGTAATTTGACCATACAGGGTGGCCGTAATTTGATATATATATATATATATATATATATATATATATATATATATATATATATATATATATATATAAACAAAAACTAATTTTATATATAAGAATATAAAACGAGACCCTTGTGAAAAAATAAGGCATTTTATACTTGTAGTTGTACATATGGGTGGGAAAATGAGAAGGAAAAGTGGAAAAAAATAAAAAGAAAATCAGGCAAAAATAATAAGTGGAGAGAGAAAGTATGGAGAAGTGGGAGTGGGGCACGACTCACGAGAGAGAGAGAGAGAGAGAGGTTGAGAATTCACAAAAGAAAATAAACAAGAAACTAAAAATAATTGAAAAATGTATTAAAAAATAATATTTTTGGGGCCCCAACTGAAGATGGGCCCTGGGCCTAGGCCCTGCTCGCCCTGGGCCAGGGCCGGCCCTGGGTGTGGATGGCTGAAATGGGTAATTACTGGATATGGAGTTTCTTTCTGAGAGCTTTTCTTCTCCATCTCTCTTTCTATGTCAGATACATACATGGAAAATATATATGCATTATATTTGGAAGGAAATAATGGAGATTGGAGAGTTAGATGCTACATCTGATTATTTACGACGGATGAATTATAACTGTAAATCTGATAAATAGAGATTACTAAGCACACATACACATAAATGTATATGTGATTATGTGTAGATATACGGTTGAAATACAAAGGGTGTAAATAATTCAGGTCTAGCATCAAATTACCTGGAAATGATCAATTTAAATAGTGTCCAACTAATGAATAGTGAGTCACCACTATGTTTCCAATCTTTGAAATATTCTAGAGATAATTTAATTAATATTTATGAATTATCATTTAATTATTCCAATAGATGGATTTCAAAAACAAAATGCAGTTGAGAATATTATAAAACAAGGGAAAGACAAGAAGAAAACAAGTGTGTGCATGTATTGTATTTTTATTCAAGTGTGTCTCAACTCCATACAATGGTGTCCCTTTTATAGTACAAAAAGACCATTCAAAAGGTCATGAGTTAAAAGGGAATGAATGGTCTTAACATCCACCATTATCACCTCTAATTACACACATTAATGACTTTGTAACTCCTATAGACATCCACTATAGGTTACATAATACTCCCCCTTGGATGTCTATGACTATTGAGAGTGTGATACACTGCCTCGTTAAAACCTTGCCAAGAAAAACCCATTGGGATAAAACCTTGGTCGAAGGAAAAAGAGTACAGTGTTGGGTTATTAATCACACTCCCCCTGATGCTGGCAATAGATCGTTAAGCCGACGCATTCCAATGTTGTAGATCATGCTCCCCCTGATTTCAGCATGAGATATTGGAGTAAGATCGCCGACGTATGGATTTGCAAACTCGTTATTTGATTGTCATCAATAACTGTCAATGTCATCTTTCTTCTTTAACTCTCGAGTACTTTAGAAAACTTCAATAATTCTTCGGCCACCTCACTTGATATAGGCAAAATCTCGTTGGTACAATTAGACAACATTATCCTCATATATTAGGACCAATGTCTTCATTATCTTCTCGGGGATGGAAATATATTTCTTATGTCCAAAGATCGGACAATCATATCTTTACTCAACGAATGAGCTTTATCATATACAAACAAATAATGGATAAATATTTCATTCGACTAATGCTCGATCTGCAGATCAAGGTAAAATATATCATCCAAAGATATTTTCACTTCGAATTCTTTCATCAAATAATTGCTGATCTTTGTGAGCTCTTCATGAGTCTCCACAAGATTTAATTCGCCCCAAATGATAATGGAAATCAATTTATTTGATTATTCATTTTGTAAACAAGGTATTCACTAAGGTGACAATACCATATTTTTTAATATGTAAATGGATCATTCGTAGAGTCTAACTCATGAGACCTCTTATTATATGCTTCAAGCATTTTCAATTCTTTGAAATAAAAAGTTATGATCCATATAAATATGCGGTAATTGCATCCATATGGTGCATGTCAAATAATTTTGAATACCATTATAAATTGATTGCATCGAAAATTTATTTTTCAAAGGTTTTCAAATGTACCGCAATAATTTTACCCACATTTGCTGTGACGCCCACTATCGAAATACACTGTACTTTTTTTTTTTTCCATTACAATAAATAAATACTATGACTTCTGATAAATACAATGTCTCCTACTTAATTTCTCAACACTAATATCAAATACACGTAACAACCAAATGCCACAACTAATCTCGTATTCATAGTTCTCGAATTACAATCATTCTTAAACACAACACTAGATTAAACTCTCTAAAATCTTTGAATAACTTTTACTCCTAAGAGCCTTCAACACAATCGTCCACTAATGCACCTGACACTGAGAATAAGAAGGAAAATAAAGGAGGAGTAAGTCCAAGTGGACTTAGTGAGGAGTACAAGGGAAAAAACAGTCGAATCAAATAATAATCACAATATAAGTGTTCAAGGAATTGGGGATGGAATTGGAGTTGAAATTGGACCATCTAGAGAATGATCGTTCGATAAGGAATAAGAGGCCAAAGTATATGGCACATCAATATGATCAGAATCAACAATATAATCAATATGTACAGGTAAAGAACAATATTCAACGGGTAATTCCCGGATATCAATTATGAATTTCGTGGAGATTCCCACGATAACAATTTTGGATATCAAATATGAGACCATGGAGATTCCCATGGTAACAATTTGTTCATGTACCTGTACCTGCCTTGTGACTCCCTTAGCCGTAACTACCTTATAACACCGATCAGGGAGCTACCCTGCTAATTGATCAATAGGCATGCCCGGGCGCATGCCGATTCAGCCATCAACACAGTTAATCTCCAACTATGCCAATGGTCTGAATCCAATATGGGTACTGTCGAAGAGACCATCCACCGTCGGCCCAATACCGCCCAGCAGTCTTTTTCGAACAGCCCCGGGCCCAACTGGTCAATTATCCTTAGGGCGTCCCCAAAGGAATCAATAATATAGAGATACGGATATGCTTCCTACTATCTCAATTTACATTTTAAATCCCAATAATAAATTCCATTTTGGAAAGAATCAATATCACAGTTCAACGATTGTGGGATTCCAATAACAAGTGATAATATCTTGTGGTCACAAAATCACAAGTCAAGAAGGGTACGATCAATGGTTTCAAAGGATCAATAAGAAGTCAACATATGAACGATCCATCAATTCACAGTAGGTACGAAACGAATGATTTAATGGATAAACAGAATAATCCTAAATGGTCCAAGAGTCGGGAAAAGAACGATTTACGTTTATTGAACCACTGTAAAATAGAAGTGGTTCCAACTAGTATACAAGTCAATATGTGAAACGATTCACAATGACTGAGAATCGGACTGAAACTCCAAATTATTCAAGAATCGATAAAAGAGCTCGATTGAGTAGTCAAAAAATCTGGATAATAAATTATTGAAATAAGTCTCGAATCAAGATGAGAACTTATTTGAATAGTTCGAGGAAGAAGACACGATTCTGAATAAATCAATATTTTCAACAATTCAAGAATCAAAATATAATACGATAGGCAAAAGTAAGATATATCACATTTAAGTGATCAAGAAGCAATAACGGATGTCTTATTCTCAGTGTGTATTTTGTTTTTCCAAGAAATAATAGTGAAGAAATAGAGATCCTCACCTGAAGTCCAATGCAAGTGTTATAAAAAACACCTTACTCTCGAGTCATGCTCTTGAATGAGAACCTTAGAACGCTCGATACCTATAAAAATATTCATCACTTAACAACATTCTAAATGCTAATATAACCGTATTATTCCACTATACCACATACTCAATTTCTTGAAACATTTATTAAGAATGTCTTGCTGCCACAGCTTATTCGAACAATCGTTACGATCACCTTACTTATCCGAATAACCTAAACGATTTATCGAATTAAAGCTAACATGTGTGTCTAAAGTTTTACTGAAGACCCTGAGCCCAAATTATCGACCTAACACAGCAATAACAGCCCCGGAAGATGAGTACATGAAACTGCCAGGTTTTTGGAAAATTCGTTGTTGGCACAGTTTGTTTGAAAAATCATAACAATTAACACGCTCATCCAAATTGATCACATGATACGTCAAATGAAAGCTAACAGAAAATCCTACGAGTTCACAGAAGGCTTTAGTCCCAAATTCGGAACCGAAAATAGCAGAAACAGCCTCAAACCAGCATTACAGAACTGCCGGGATTTTGGAAAGATTATTTCTGGTACAGCTTATTTGAAAAATCATAACAATTTGTAAAGTTATCCAATTTGGCCAAACAATACACCAAATTGAACCTCAAAATGTAATCTACAAGTTCTTAGAAGACACATAGCCTAAATTATTAGCTCAACATAACATAAACAGCCCCGTAAAACGAATACTCAAAACTGCCCTGTTTTAACAGATTTACCGTCACTTAATTCGGACCTCTAATCAGCTTCAAAACATATTCTAACTCTATACAATTTTACACTTACCAATAGTTTTCGAGGTCCTCTACGAGTTTCGTCAAGGAATGATTCCCAAATTCTCACTCCAAACCCTTCGATTTTGGCTTCGAAAACAGGTGCGGCAGCAAATACTATTTCCTTCAAGGCTCCGGCGAGCGGGCTGAACTTCTTGCCCAATTCCGGCAACCAACTGATGCGACCACCACTGGAGGCGACCTGATCGTTGTAGCCCCTTGATAAAGCCTTCTTCACGCAGCCCTAATTCTGCCAATAATTCGAATTGGGATTTCCCGATTAAAACCTCAAATTCCTTTCCTATACCCCACTCCACCAAACCTCGTTCATGAATTCGACTTTTTCTCAATTAACTTCTGTGATTTCGGCCAAGAATCGATAGAGAGGAAAAGAGAGCAGGCGAGAGAGAAAGAGAGAGATGATGAGAGAGAAAGAGAGAGCGAGAGTGATGACGAGAAAGCGAATATGAGAGAGGAGAGAAACTCTGATTGAGCTTATAAAGAAACGAAGAGAGGAGAAATTGATCGGATAGGAAGAAGAAGGAGGATGACTCGTACGACACGCGTCTCTCTCCTAATTTCCTTGGTTAATAACACTTAATTATCCGATTAAACAAGCCCCTCAATTGCTTAATGGCCAAGTTTGCTGATTTAGAGAATTATTATTATGCTTATGCCCCAAAATTATCACATAATAACACATCTGCCCCCAATTCTCATCAATTCTCATTATAAAGTACAATAAACTCTCGCATAAATTACGGGGTGTTACATTTGCACTAAAGGCTTTCACAACTTCATGTGTGATGACCGCAAGTCAATGTACAATTCATTTCATCAATAATTTCAAATAATCATGGTCAATTGCATTTGTGGATGCATATACTAATGACCAATTGGATGTCGACATCTATTAAAATGTATGAGCTTCAAGCTCTTCACATAATTGTACATATAGTTATTCGATAACATCTTTAGTACTCCCCATATTTCTTTATAATCAATCAAGAGCTCACTATTTCACTTTCCGGTACCGGATTCTCCTTAGAGAATTATATTTATATAAATGGGGATTGTAGCCTTTGTGGGTACGATCTCTTCTTGAGATCCATATCTTTTCATGTACCATGCATTTTTCTCTTATAGAGAATTTTCTATATTGCATCAATAAAGTTTTCATAATACTTTATGTGCTTGAGCTCATTATTTATTTCAATAAAATGTCCTACATGAACAAAACGCGCGCTTTTGAGTTTAACAATGGAGGGAGTATTGAGGACTACTTGTCCACTTTATTTTCAAACTCAATATTAACAAATTTAATTTAGTACATGAATATTCATTCGAAAAGAATTTTCAATTCTTTAAGATCTTATATCGGTACAACAACAAAATTGAGAACTAATAGTCTCAAATGCCTCTCTATTCACTTAGAGAGCAAGCTAACCATGATTTATTTGCCAATCAACTCTTTATTGGCACATAATGGTTCGATTTAAAATGATCTCGATAGCTACCGTGTAATCATCAATGATTTTCTCATCCAAATATGGATTTAATTTATGCCACCATAATTGGCAAGTATTCTCATATCATAATAATGGATATTGGTGTTGAGGCGTCCCCCAACATATCCTTTAAGACGAATCCTTTCATCGAATGAGATAAGTAATAGGATGATAGTACGATGCTACTAGCGCTAGTAGACTTTAATTGAACGGTATTCACACCACTTATAAGTGTGTTAATCATTCAAACCAACATATATATCTCCCCCTCTTATATGTATAAAGTATAATTGGTTAGTTGTGTACCATAATCATTTTTCACCCATTTAGGGATTCACGATGCAATCACAATGTGAAATTTGTCCTTCGAGGACATTCGTTTATTAAGCCTTTCATGGCAAAATCTAATGTGCAATGTGTCCTTCTTAGACATTTTCTCTTGCACTCATTTGCAACATATATTATAATATCGAGTTGCTAATATGTCGATAAATGCATCTAGCATTTTACACATTAAAATTGTTGCAAATGAATTCTTTTTTTCCTTTGTGCTTAAATATTTCCATGCACAAATTTAGATGAGACAAAGATCATTTCATATAATTCACGCCGTTATACAAGAACCGGCTTCTTATCTCCCCCTTAACGGCGGGAAAATGGTCTCATGTAAATGACAATTGACAATGTATGCCATATAAATATCTCCCATTAGGAGTGCAAATATTGCATAGCATAAATTATAAATAAACCATGTGATATAGTTTTTATCTAGATGAAGGTAACTATGTTTGAGAATCTAACAGGTTCGACCACACAAATGACAGAATTTCAAAATTTTGAAAATTCAGGGACCAAACTGTAAATTTTGAAAATTTAGGGACCAAACTGTAAATTTTGAAAACTTCAGGGACAAGACTGCAATTTTAAAACTTCGGTGGAAACAGAAAATGCTGAAATGTATTCATAATTGCAGATGATGAGAGGAACGAGCTGCATATTCTGAAAAACATTTGGACTAAATTGTAAAATTTTCAAATCCGGAGGACTAAAATGAATTTTTTGAACATTTTGAAGTAATAAACTGTAAATCTCGAAAAATCGGAATGTGTAGAGGGTTTGAAATTTTAACACGAAAATCAGATCCCCTTTTTTTTTCGTTTGGTTTGAAATTTCTTCTCATCTCATCTAGACCAATTAAAAAATCATGTACATACCTCCATAGATATGGTTTGGAGTGAAATTTGCATCACTAAACTTTTGTGATTCAAAATCTTTAATTTAATTGGTCAATAGCGTGACTCCAAAATCAACACATGCTTTTCTGTTGGTGCTTCATAAAGCTTATCAACATGCTTTATCGTAAAATAGATTTATGACCAATCATTTTTCATATTTTTCACATCTCTACACCTCTAATGGTGAGATAAATTGTAATAAGCACCATGATATCTATATAAGATATCTCTTGAAATATTTTGTTGTTTTAACTGTCAAAGAATAACAACAATGAAACGAGCTTTGCATTATTTCAATTTTAGCTCCACAACTCGTATTATAGTACGATATGCTATCAAATTTTCTTGATTTTTGCTAGTACGAGTGCAACTTTAAATTTTATGTTGCAACTTCATGATCATAATATAGATCCAAATATTGCTACTACGGTAGCATTTCAAGTCACAAACTTAGAGAATATTTTCTCTTACAATTCTCCATTATATGTATCTTCAAGACACATATATCGAAATATTTTACTTGTCGTTTTCAAAACAACAAAGTCAAGATTTAAAGAGAGCAAATTATAGAGATGATCAAATATCTATCTCTCTTCTTCTTCATAAGTAACTAGATGTAATGTTATTTTTACTTGTGTGTTCAAGACACATAACCCCCAATTAAGTACTCGTTTCTTAGAAATGAAACAATAATATTTTGCTCGGTGTCTTCTAGACACATTTTCATTATGAAATATTTGGTTATTTCTTGATGACACATAAATGGATCTTCAACTTCAATGATCCAAAGCTCATAGTTATGTTTCTTCTTGAGCTATCAAAAATAATTTTGAATTGTGAGATATGTCTCATATCATTCATGAATTCAAAAGGAATACTCCTTTCGAGTACATTTATATATAATCTCAAAATTTGAGTTTTATTGCTTAAAGTTATATACTCGATTTGAGCCTGAAGGCTTCATATAAATCATTATAGTACTTGATATGAAACTATAATTAACTCGAATTTTCATATATATCATTGAACCACAAACTGGATAGTTCTTTCGAGTACAATATACTATTCAAATATCAAGGATTGAGTTTTATACCTTGAATTTATGTACTCGATTTAGGCATCAACCTTTATAATTGGTACTTAATCGTAAAATAATAGTACATTGAGTGGAAAATACTCATTAACTCAAATATTCAATTTTGAGTATCATCACCTAGACCTTGAGTCTAATATATTCAATCAAGACTTATGGTCTTCAAATTTAATCTAGGCCTCAAGCCTTTATATTTAATATTCCTCCACATAAGCTTTCAAGCTTTCATATTTAAACTAGGCTTTAATTTGAGCCTAAAATTTATGAACTTCGAGTTCTTTTTTTCGATTGATGGAGCTTTTCAAGTTGCATAAACTAGAGAGCCAGTGATTTTTTTTTTCTTCTTAATATACCACTCAAATCTTCGAGTCACTTGATTGCACGTGCTCGATTTGGGCTTCAAGCCTCCATAAAAATTGATATAGTACTTACTCGTGAAATAATAGTACTATAAATGGGGATACTCATTGACTCAAATTTTCAAATTTGTGTATTATCACGTAGACTTTGAGTCTAACATATTCAATCGAGATTGCTGGTCTCCTTATCTAGGCTCCAACCAAGCCATTTACGAGAACTTTATAGGTTCTTGTAGTAAAGAAATATAGTCAGAATCGAATAATATTGAATTGTAATAATAATGTTAAAAATGTGTACAGTCTGAGATTCTATGACTTTCAATCTGAAATATATACTTAATTATATGTAATATGATGAGAATCTAATCTACCTTTCCAATTATGTCCATCACATATAAATGCAAAGAGTCGGTATAGTCAAATTTATCAATCAATATTATGCAACCAATCAGTATATAGAAGCAGCAGAAGGACTTCATCAATTATCGAATATGTACATTATCAACTCAGCATGAGACAAGATATGATCACACAAACATAAAGGAACAATTTTATTTAACACTTAAAATAGGTTAATGGTAACATATGTTCAAACATGCCACGTATATGGATGGATATATGCATATAAATACAAGATAACACCTTTGCAGCAATCACAAATCTGTAGGGACATGTTCAATTATATATTTCAGATAATATAATTATGTGCATAGCCAGACATCATGAGACAAATGAAAGATTTGGTGACAAATAAATATTTAAAAATAAACAAAATCTAAAGACCACAATACTCAGAATGATCTAAATTTTCTCATTTTTCCTAGAAATCAAAACAAGTGCAAATTCCGTAGGAAAAAAAATTGATAGAGCAAGATAATCACCAATGAGTAAAATTATCAAACAAGTCACTAAGAACGACAGGTAATGAAAATGAAATAAATAGTGCATAATGACTGTACCATCTGTATATAGTTTCGAAACTAATCAACTGATATGTTTGATAGAAATAATATTTTACCTTTCTATAATCAACCTTCTTTCTATTAATTAGAAAAGAAAGTAGAGCAAACTCGTGCTGATAACGTATTATAAAACAAGGGAAAGACAAGAAGAAAACAAGTGTGTGCATGTATTGTATTTTTATTCAAGTGTGTCTCAACTCCATACAATGGTGTCCCTTTTATAGTACAAAAAGACCATTCAAAAGGTCATGAGTTAAAAGGGAATGAATGGTCTTAACATCCACCATTATCACCTCTAATTACACACATTAATGACTTTGTAACTCCTATAGACATCCACTATAGGTTACATAATAGAGAAGACATCTTTTTAAATATTTTAATGACAGATAATTCTGCTGATACTAATTCAAATTGGGAAAATTATAGTTTTCCTCCCTTAAGTTTGCACCATTGCACATTTGATCCTTCATGTTCACTAAATTACATTTGGTACCTTATGTTTCTAAAATTCAATACTTTTAGTCCTTTCCTTCAATATCCCATTAGTCCGTTAGTTAAGACAGGGATGGGCACACATAGGGGTGCAAGTTGGAACGGAAACTCCAATATCCGCCGGTTCCGATCCGAAAAGTTCCGATTTGGGAACAACTTTTTTTATTCCAACTTCCGAAATTCCGATTTCCGAATACACCTATAAATAATAAATATTATATAATACTTATTTTTTCAAAAAATACACCTATAAGTTTTGCTTTAGGATTTTGACATAGTGAATTGTTGTTAGAAGTTTTATTAGATATTATGTTGTGTTTATTTTTATTTATTTTTTGGACTGAAATTTAGTAGGTATTAGTTTTATTTTTATCGACGTGGATGTTCTTATTTTTGGAAAATTATGAACGTTTTAGAAAATTTCCGCTAAGTGTTGAAATTTTTAAGCTTATGTGATTTCCGATTTTTTTCCGAATTTCCGAAATTTCCGGGCCTTTTGGAATTTGAATGAATTTTTAGATTCCGAAAATTTTGGAATTGGAGAATTGATTTTTTACTTCCGAATTTTTTTAGAATTTTTCTGAAAAGGCTAATTTCGATCTGATCCATCCGACTTTCACCCCAAGACACACGCTTGATTCCGTTAGTTTTAACGGGATATTGACGGAAATGACTTAAAATGTCGAATTTTAGAAACACAAGGAACCGAATGTATTTTTTGTAAACATGAATGACCAAATGTGAAATCGGTGCAAACTGAAAGGTGTATTTTTCCATTCAGTTACTAAAGATAAAGCTGAAGAGTTTGAATTAAACAAAAACAATCAACAAGGAACTTATCCACAATATACATGAATCAAATTAGTCATTTACACAACCGTTTTATTCTCTTCAAACTTCAACAAATTAAAGGAAGAAAACCAAATTCCACCTTAGAAAATTAGGAACCGAAAAACACCGAAAAAATTCGCACACGATCGAGTGATCGATCTCTAATTTATTTAGGTTTATGGACACAATTAATTCAGTTGGATAAGCCTCCAAGTATGGCACCAAGAAAACCGATACCATTTTCATCGCCCAATAAAGTTTGTACTATAGGATTCACCATTCCTCCAACACTAACACCGCCCATCTCCGCCTCCGAAGTGTCTTGGCCGCCGCCACCACCACCACCAACAAAACCACTCAAACCAGGGATGTCACCACCACCACCGGTCCACCACCAACAAAACCACTCAAACCAGGGATGTCACCACCACCACCACCAACAAAACCACTCAAACCAGGGATGCCACCACCACCACCACCAACAAAACCACTCAAACCGGGGATGCAACCACCACCACCACCACCACCACCGCCAATTACCGCTTGCATGGAGACTTGGCTGCTGGTTACTGCCGGCGAAGAGCCTTGGTCACCTCCACCACTAACGCCACCATAACCACCAAAAGCAGGGATGCCACCACCGCTAGTGCCACCGTTACACATCAATTGCATCATCACCTGCTGTAAGCCCGCCCCCATGTTATTACCTCCATAACCACCGCCAAAGCCACCGCCTCCAGAACCCCTGCCGGAAAGTATCCCCAGAGCTATGGCGTCAATGTTGTTAATAATCCACTGCTTAACCACATGAAGGGCCAAATCATTGTTGACCATCTGTCTGTTCATCTCATGAAAACGAGGCTGCATCATCGGAACTCCCGAAGCAACACCAAGAGCTACATTGTTAGTCATGATATTCGGCTGCTGCAGAGGTGGAAGCTGAGGCGCCGTCGGAGTCAATCCAGAGCACGATGCCACCGAATCAGGTGGTGCCGCCTTGGGCGATATTAACCGAGACTCATCAAAACCAATCAAACTAACCTCTTCTTTTGGTTGCATAGGTGGAGCATCAAGAGTTTGATCAACACTTCTAGCACAGGTGAGATGAGCATTGAACTCACACAATTTGCACCTGTAAAGCCAGTGGCGCGAACCAGGGGCATCACATATCGCACATGTGAAACTCTTGCTCGGGTAGGGAGATTCGAACGTGAGGTCGAGCTTGTGCGCGTGAGATTTGTGCTTGACGAATAAAGGCAAGAGTGCGCACGTTATGTGCAGATCAACGTCGCAGCGCCCGCAGTTGTAGGAGAATCCAACCCCACTTTCACCGCATGCGTTGCACACGAAGTAGTCTTGTTTATAAGCGGGCTTCGGCAGAAGGGTTAGCCCGTGTTTCTTGTGGCAGAGGTGATCGATTTTCTTCGGCATTTCGAAGCATTGCTTGTGAAGGAAATAGTCTTTGCAGACTGTGCAGGTGTACAGCATACCTGCAGAGGGTTTGAGCTTGCATGCCGGGCATGGTGAATTTAGGTTTAGGGTTTGATTGTAAACGACGAGCGTCAATGTGTGTGGGTGGCTGAAATGTTCTGCTCTGTTTTCCATCTCTCTCTCTCCTCCACTTTCAAACTTGGTCTAAATTGGGGATGAAGATGACAACCCCAAATTCATTCCAACCTCATTTATATATAATTGTTGGGAAATTGTAATTTAACCCTTATGTTATACTATTTAGGAATTCACCCCACTAAGTTATCCTATTTTTATTTTACATGCAATAACTTTGCCAATTTAGAATTTTTGGTCCTATTTCGCTGGATTTTCTGACTTCAATAATATGTGTTGATTAATGATGTGGTTAAAAAAGTTGCAGGAATTTGATTATATGCAGGCTTGGAAATTATAAATGCTCTTCTAACTTGGTTTATAAACTCGTTGTCTCATATGATCAAAATTCTATAAAAAATGCTAAATTAGCGAAGTTGTTGGGTGTAAAATTGAAATATGATAACTTAGAATACTACATCCCCAGATAAAACCAACGTTAAAGATCAAAATTGCAATTTTCTCCCTAGAGGAATCGGACAAGTTGATCTATTACAGACTTTAATTTGGAGACGTGGTGATCATCAGTAGGTATTTTTTTTATTTCATTGACATGCATCTTGGAAGTTTTTTTATGTATATATAAAAATTGTCAAATAATATAAATATATTTCAAATAATAGAACTATATACATATATAGCTAGTAGCTCTTTGTATTAAATATCGGGTCTCTTCGCATAAATCATCCCTGTGAAATCTCTAATTGCCAAAAACACCCCCATATTAAAAAAATTAGCAAGAATCCCTCTATGAAAATTAGTCAAAGCTATAAAGTCCCTTGAAAGTCTATCGTGCTGCATTCACCTGTGGGGGTGCATTTTTTGGCCTAAGAAGACCTAAAATACCCTTTAATTAGAATTTTTTTAAATTACAAATTCACCCCAAAAATTTCAGACCCAAAGTCAAGTTTTAAAAAGCTTCAATTCAGGCCTTCGTGTTTTCAAAAAATCCATAAAGGCCCTTGACAGCTTATCGTGCGTTACACTCAGCAGTGGGGGTGCATTTTTTGGCCTAAAAAGACCTAAATACCCTTTAATTAGAATATTTTTAAAATTACAGATTCACCCCAAAAATTTCAGAACCAAGGTGAAGTTTTCAAAATTTTCAATTCAGTCCTTCATGTTTTCAAGAAAAGCCATCTTCCCAGCCGCACTTCTTCATTGTGAATTTTTCAAGCAAAAACCAGGTGGAGAAACCGAAGGACCGTCGACTCCTTGCCTTGAATCGCAACGGAGGAGAAAAGAAATAGAAATTATTCAATAATGTTTGAGATTTAACTTTTGTGAAGAAAATAGTGTGGGAAAATTATGCAAGAGTAGAGCATACCCTCAGAGGGCTTGAGCTTGCATGCTGATCACACGGTGAAGTTAGGTTTAGGGTTTGCTTGTAGACGATGAGCTTCAATGGGTGCGGGAAGCTTAAATGGAGTTTTATGGATTCATGATTGAAATTTTTCCATATTATTAATTAGCCAAAATTGCACGCCATTCTCTGTAAATTTCTAATTTTCACACTTTACACCCTCAAAATTTTTAAAAGTGAATGTCCCCCTCAAAATGTTATTCTTGTTGCACATTGCCCCAATAGCGAAAATCCGATGGATTATTCATCGGAGTTGAGTATCTTTGTTGCACGTTGGCCCTCTAAATGTTATTTTTATTGCACTTTGCCCCTTAAAAATACTATTTTTTTGCACGTTGTCCCTTTAAAATGTTATGTTTGTTGCACAATGCCCTCAAAATATTAATTTCTGGGGCAAAGTGCAACTAAAATAATATTTCGAAGAGGAAGTATCATGTTTTGAACTTTTAGGGGGCAAAAGTGTGAAAATGGGAACTAGGTGAAGTGCATTTTGTCCTATTATGATAGGAAAAATTGCACATCACCCCCTCAAAATTTCTAATTTTTGCACTTTACCCCCTCAAAATTATAAAGAGTGAATGTCCCCCTTCAAAATGTTATTCTTGTTGCAAATTTCCCCGATAGCAAAAATCCGATGGATTATTCATCGGAGTTGAGTATCTTTGTTGCACGTTGGCCATTTAAATGTTATTTTTATTGCACTTTGCCCCTTAAAAATACTATTTTTTTTGCACGTTGTCCCTTTAAAATGTTATAATTTGTTGCACAATGTCCTCAAAATATTGACTTTTGGGGCAAAGTGCAACCAAAATAACATTTCAAAGGGAGAGTATCCTTGTTTGAACTTCTAGGGGGCAAAGTGCAAAATGGAAAATTTGCAAGAGATGAAGTGCATTTTGTCCTATTAATTATTTTATGATATCTAATTTTGCAGTCGAATTTCTTAAATTATTCGACGACTGCTGAGTTTCATCAGGAGGTACAGAAAGACTTGACTTTCAGCTGGCCGGTGACATTGTCAGCTTTCAGATATATATATAATTCAATCCGGTGGCTGCAACCCTGCACTTAGATAAAGTGTATACGCAACACCCAACACCGAATAAAATACGAAAATACAAAGGAATAGTATCGCGTAGGGGAGGTGAGATCACAAAACTTACTTGATTATCTTTTCTTTCTCTCTCTAGACTTCTTCTTTCTTGTTTCTTGACATGCTTCAAATGAAATACTGCATAGACCAATTATAGAATTAATACTCTCTTCCAATCATATGTGAATCAAACCAAGTGACACATGCAATTGCACGATCTGTATCGAGTCTATGTAGCACGGACACGGAAACGATGATACGGGAAAACAGACATGGAGAAACGGCATGTCCCAAAAGTAGGGATACGGGAATTTGGGGAAAATGTATAAATATTAAAAGTATAGGGGTATATGCTATATAATCATATATAAGTTTTTTTCCTTTTTTTATATATATTTTCATACAAACATATTAAAAATAAGGGTAAATTACACACACCCCCCTGAGGTAAGCTTAAATAACTGTAAGGTCCCTATGGTATCGATAATTACACTTAGCCCCCTGAAACGTAGTCAGAAACTCTAATGGGATAATGAATTGGATACGTTATTCCGATAGGGTTCTAACGGACTATTGGTTTCAGAAAGTGGTGAAGACAACAAAGAGCTATGGGTGATTTAAGAAATGTTCGGGAATGTTCGGGGAGCTATGGGTGATTTTCATACAAACATATTAAAAATAAGGGTTAATATGCTGGAGGTCCCTCATACGAAACGTTATTAGATGTGGGATACGAGCCCAATATTTTTATCGTAACTAAATCCCTCAGTTCAAAAAATATAAGATATAAGGGATTTTTTTTTGAAATATCCCAATAATACCCTTAGTTTTAACAGGACGTTTGTGTGGCGTTATAAAGCTTTATGTCTCTTTAATAAATCACGTCCCTTGTTAATAGGGATCACGTATCAATCACGTTCTATTGTGATAGTAACTGTATCTTTATGTAATCTCATTAATATATACTGCACGTAAGTGAAGAAGATTCCATACATAACAATACACAGTGGTAATCGGCTAAACTTTGAGCATAGTCATTCGAGTTTTCTTTGTTCTTCGTCATCGCATATCAGTGTTTCTTCGTGCGTTGTTGGTTGGATATCTGTTCAATTTTTTTTTTTTTTTTACCGTTTTTTTTTTCACAAGATCTACTTATAAATTTGACAAAATTTAATTGTACAGTGGAAAAAAAAATTCACGGAAATTATTGTATTAACATATTTATTTGCAGATTTATTTTATGTTCGATTTTTATTTTCACGATAATTTCAGAATGTCGACAACTGTTGATGAGGTTTGGTGAATGTTTTGGCATCAAGAATGTGTCTGGTGATATGAATTTCAACATGCTTGTTGGTTATGTGAGGGCTAAATGGAATGAGTTGTACATACATAATATAGTTTTGTCGAATAAGGTTTTGGATGATGGCGAGGGCATGCTTACCGATGATGACAACGTGGCACAGATGTTCTCTTTGATTGACGAACTTAAGCTTGAGCAGATTGAGATAAGTGTGAAGAAACGAGAGGGGGTTGTTGTGCACTCGGGCGATAATTTGTTTATTCACGAAAATCTGCCGACACTTGATTATGGTATGCCAATTGTGAGTAGTGCTGATCCACGGATTCCTAATGGTGGTCCTACTCCATTACTTAGTTGTTTATGGGCAACCTTAATCAAGGATGGTGGTCAATGCTTCCAAGGTTGTGCGAAGGAGTTTAGAATGTCCCGATGCAAGACATGTACAATGGCTATTCAGTAGTTTTGATTTTGAATTTTGTTTTAAATGTTTCAAGTTTGCATTGACCTAAAGATTTCGTTTTTTTTTTTTTCATGTATTTATGCTTTGTGCACTACTGTGTCGTTTTAGTATTGGTTTTTTTTCGTGACGAATGTTTGTTCTTTCTTTCATTGATTTATGTTTTTGTTTGCATTGTTTTCTTACTTTTCAGGGATTCATTTGCACTGTTTGTAAATTGATTGGTTTTTTGTGAAAAATATGATGCATGTTTATTGTTTTTACAGATAATGTAATTGCACTGTTTAGTTATTATTAAAATCATCATTATCACAGCATTGCATCAATGGCTACACATTAGAACAATATAGTACAATTTGTTTTGGTGCACTGTCATTTAATTCGCTCATCCAATGTTCTGTAGTAATTCATAGTCTGCCATAGAAGACTATAGTATTGTTGGTACTACGGTGTTTGACATTGTTAAATTTCAATACCTGCATGCGCATAGTATTGTATGGTATTCCTATACACAGATAAACAAAAGTATACAATATCAACAAAGCTAATTTCCAAAAGGCATATATATATATATATATATATATATATATATAAGATACTGTGTCGATAAATAGCAGATTGTTTCGAATATTTCAACACTGATACAAACTAGAGCGGAAAAATCTAACTTCTACATAAGTTTTTGTTTGCGTACAATAGATAAAAAAATGAGAGCGGAAAAACCTAACTTCTA